CCCTGATAACCACGATAGGGTGGTCACTCACCACAAGCCAGATATCCTGGAATGTGAAGTCAAATGGGCCTTAGAAAGTCTGAGCAACAACAAAGCTAGTGGAGGTGACAGCATTCCAGCTGAGCTATTCAAAATCTTAAAAGACGATGCAGTAAAAGTGCTACACTCAATATGCCAGCAAACTTGGAAAACTCAACAGTGGCCACAGGATTGGAAAAGGTCAGTTTGCATTCCGATACCAAAGAAGGGCAATGCCAAAGAGTGTTCAAGCTACCGCACCATTGCACTAATTTCACATGCTAGCAAAGTTATGCTCAAAATCCTACAAGCTAGGCTCCAGCAGTATGTGGACTGAGAGCTACCAGAAGTACAGGCAGGATTTCGAAGAGGGAGAGGAACTAGAGATCAAATTGTCAACATACTCTGGATCATGGAGAAAGCTAGGGAGTTCCAGAAAAACATCTACTTCTGCTTCATAGACTTTGCTAAAGCCTTTGATTGTGTAGATCACAACAAATTGTGGCAAGTTCTTAAAGAGTTGGGAGTACCAGACCATCTTATTTGTCTCTTGAGAAACCTATATGCGGGTCAAGAAGCAACAGTGAGAACTGGACACAGAACCACTGATTGGTTCAAAATTGAGAAAGGAGTTTGGCAAGGCTGTATACTATCGCCCTGCCTATTTAACTTACATGCAGAGCACATCGTGAGAAAGGTGGGGCTAGATGAATCACCAGTTGGAATTAAGATTGCTGGGAGAAATATCAACAACCTCAGGTATGCAGATACCACCACTCTAATGGCAGAAAGTGAAGGGAAAGTAAAGAGCCTCTTGAGGTGGGTGAAGGAAGAGAGTGCAAAAGGTGGCTTGAAACTCAACATTAAGAAAACTAAGATCATGGCATCCGGTCCTCTCACTTCCTGGCAAATAGATGGGGAAGAAATGGAGGTAGTGACAGATTTTATTTTCCTGGACTCCAAGATCACCACAGATGGGGATTGCAGCCAAGAAATTAAAAAGGTGCTTGCTCCTGGGGAGGAAAGCTATGGCAAATCTAGACAGCATATTAAAAAGCAGAGACATCACCCTGCCAACAAAAGTGCGTATAGTCAAGGCTATGGTTTTCCCAGTTGCAATGTATGGCTGTGAAAGCTGGACCGTAAGGAAGGCTGAACGCTGAAGGTTTGAGGCCTCTGAATTGTGGTGCTGGAGGAGACTCCTGCGAGTCCCTTGGACCGCAAGGCGATCAAACCGGTCAATCCTATAGGAGATCAACCCTGAGTGCTCTTTAGAAGGCCAGATCCTGAAGATGAAACTCAAATAGTTTGGCCACCTAATGAGAAGGAAGGACTCCCTGGAGAAGAGCCTAATGCTGGGAAGAATTGATGGCAAAAGAAGAAGGGGATGACAGAGGATGAGGTGGCTGGATGGAGTCACTGAAGCAGTCGGTGTGAGCTTGAGTGGACTCCGGGGGATGGTGGAGGACAGGAAGGCCTGGAGGAATGTTGTCCATGGGGTCGCGATGGGTTGGACACGACTAACAACAACAACAACAACAAGAACTCTCCTTTATAGGGGGTCACCAAAAAAGGAATTGTTCATAGGCCACCACCAGTCAGGTTAAATGTCTTAAGACATCCTATTCCAGTCTTCCCCAATCTGGTACCTTCTAGAAGTTTAGGATTTCAACTCCCATCATTCCTAGAAATGGTTAATGGTCAGGAATGCTGGGAACTGCAGTCTAAAGCATCTGGAGGGCACCAGTTTGGGGAAGGCGTCTAGCCTGTCTAGCTGCTTGGAGAGCTTCTGAGCCCCATGGCCAAGAACCCTTCGCTTCAGCCCAGTTCTGGTGGGGAAAAGATGGAAAGGAGTGTGCTGTGGACATTCTTGCCCAAAGCCCCCAGAACACAGACATTAACAAAAAACTTTGAAACTCTTAAAAACTCAAACAGTGGCTTTGTAATTGTTCTGTCTTTCACATGAAGAATTTTTTGGGTGAGAAATTCTCTATTAAAAAAACAATACAGACAAGTATCCAAATATAAAAAGGCATTTATTTGAGGCAGAAAAAATAAAGGGGGGTGGGCAGAAGCAAGGAAGTGTGGGAGTAAAGGCAATAATCATACAGAGAATTTTAAAAAATCAAGACATTCTGACTTGGCTAATGTGTTTTACCTGCTTAAGAGCATGTGCAGAGTTCATTGCAGAAAGGATAGTTTTAGAAAGAGCTTCTTAGTCTCCTGATTAGATTATTAAAAAGACAACTGAGAGACAACAATGTCTTGCTTTTGCTAGAATATGTGTTCAGTAAAAGCAGCCTTCTTGTAGAAGACTGACCACTGTTTTGTTCAGTAGTGTCTAATTTCTGATGCCAGTTGCCTATTAGAAAGTTACTTACTGGCTGGGCCAACCTTTATGAAGACCCAGCATTTGAATGGTAAAAGAGCTGGCTACTTGGAAATGGACAAAGAGTTGTGTGAAAGAGCTTGAGTTTTAGATGAAGAAAAAGAGGGATCTAGCCCACATATGATGCCAATTCACAGATACTCCAGGGGGCTTGATGAACTGAGTCAAAAGTAGGGCTTTATCAGAAAGAGATTTTGCTAAGTGATTTTGCTACTTAATTTTGTTTATAGGAAGACTGGGCTGGGAACAAAGGTAAAACAATAGGCAAGGGGGCCCAAGACACTTTTCCCATTGGAGGCTCTTGCATATGAATTACGTTAGCAAAAGCCACCTAAATTAGAGAAGTTCTCCTCCCCTCAAGAAGAAGGGGAAGACCAACCATGAGATGAATAGATTCCATGAAGGACACCCCAAGAGATGAGGATTGAGTTTGCAAGAGCTGAACGGGGCTGTCAAGGACAGGGCGTTGGGAGCGCTTTCATTCATAGCAGAGATGACTCGATGGCATGTAGCAACAAGATAAGAGGGCAAGGCAAGTTCAGGTTTGCCATAGTGGAACCATCTGTCTCTAGGATGATTTGTGTACACTGGGGAATGTCAGCAAATGAGCAAACTAGAAGGAATAGAGGTTTGCTAAATGACACCTGGCTTCTTAGCCTGGCCAATAGGCACACACTGAACAGAGGATTGCATTTAACTCAGAGAATGTAATACAGTATATGCATGATTCGACATGAAAGGATCGCCAAGCCAGATCCTTGTACCTAAAGAATGACGTGAAGGATGGCCCTGTTGGTGGTCTGCAGTCCAGCAGCTTGTAGTTCTAAATGCTGAAAGGGAGGGGCTGTCAAACTCAAATGGCCGGAAAGCCATAATCCCCACCCAGCTGAATCCTAAATAACACCACTGTCATCTTTCTCTCTCATATCTCCGTTCTGTCATGGTTCAAAACCAAACTCTTGCTCCCATTCACTTGACACTAATATTAGAAAAGACAAATTGTTCCAGCCTTTTGATGCATAAATATTCAGAATGTGGATCTGATTAAAGCAGGTGGGAAAAGACCCATGGTGCATGGCCGAAGCATGCTGTGCGCATGAGCGAGTTGTCTAGCCAGAGCATCAGCTTCCCAGCTCCAAGGTGGTTCAGTAGCAAACCACAGCTCTGCAGGAGCCTCCAGAGAAGCCGGATTCAGCCCTTGGCTCTCCAGTTTGACAGTTTTGTTTTAGGGCTGGGCAGGTTCTTAAAACTAGGCTTTTCAGGGTTTGACTCTCTCATAGCCAGTCCTCGAGAGCCTTTTGATTTCTCATTCTTTTCACTGCCGTGAGTTGGCTGACTATTATCAGAAACAGCAGGCTAGGCAGCAGTGATTACTACATTTGCAAGTGCCCTTTGTAATGGCCTTGTTGTTACATGTATTTATGTTTACTTATTTATTGATTTGATTAATATCCTGCCTTTCTACCAGAAATAGTACTCAAGGCAGCCCACCATCACAGATAAAAGCTACAATATGAAAATACGTTTGAACACAATTTTTAAAATACATTTAAATGCAATTAAAATGCAGCAACAGAATAGGCACAACATTAAATTCAATAGACCCACTCAGACACTGAAAGCCCACTTCAAAAAAGCAGTCCTTGCCTGCCAGCAGGAGGACAGCAGAGCCTGTGATGCACTGCTGGATAGGGACCTGAGAGAAGTGGGCTCTGGCCCCATTTGGCCATGAAACTCTCTGGGTGATTTTGGGCCAGGCGCTTGCTCTCATCCGAACCTAACTCACGGCATTGTTGTTGTGAGGATAAAAGCAGAGGTATGTAAACTGAGTTGGGTTCCTCACAGGAGCAAGAAGGGGTGGGAAATAAATGCCATGTAATAATAATAATAATCCTCCCTTGGCAGAGAGTTCCATCGTTCCAACTTGCATTGCCACCAGGTGTGTCTGAAGGTGGCAGGCTTAAGGAAGGGCCTCTCCCAAAGAACTGGGCAGGCTCATATATGAAAAGAGGATCCTTCGGGTGGCTTGAACCCATGCTTTGCAGGGGTTTATTGGTCATAACAGGCACTTGGAATCCTGCCCAGAAGCAGACCGGTAGCCAGTGAAACGGTTGTATCAGGAGAGTCACATTCTCCCAGGAACCAGCCCTGATCAACAGTCTGTTCACAGAATTCTGATGAGTTTTCAAAGGCAGCCTCCTGTAGAGCACATTGCAATAGTCCACATGGGTGTAACTAAGGCATGTGTGACTGCAGCCAGACCAGGTGGCACTAGGATTGGGTGCACTCGGTGCACCAGCCTCAGCTGTGCAGATGCACTACCAAAACTCGGGCCATCTGTGTTCCAGGCCAAGTCCAAAAGTACATCCAAACTGCAAGCTTGAGTCTTCAGGGTGAAAATAATCCCATCCAGCATGGGTTGAGTGCTTACTCCCTGATCTTCCTTCCGACTGCCAGGAGCAGCATTGCCTCGTTTGCTTCAGCTGGTTTGTCCACATCCAGTCCATTGTGTTGCCCGTGCCTGACACATAAAAGGTATTTCTACTTACTCTGCCTACCCCTTTGACTTGTGCTCTTTCCTCCTCTTTTCCAGATGGCACTGTTTATGCGCTAGGTGGGATGGGCGCAGACACCTCTCCACAAGCTCTGGTGCGGATGTATGAGCCTGCCAAGGACCACTGGCAGTCCCTGCCCTCCATGCCTACTCCCTGCTATGGAGCCTCCACTTTCCTGCACGGGAACAAGATCTATGTCCTGGGTAAGGAGTAAGACGACAATGTTTAATCAGTTGGATCAATCAACGAGAAACATTTTGATTGACCGAGACAGTCCCTCCAATTAATCAGCTGGAAGATTTTACATGTGTAGAATGTATTATTAATGCACATTGTGGGATCATAAACACTATCTTGGAAGAGGCAACTGCTGCCTAATCCCCCCTCTCCCACCAAAGGGTGCAAGATGCTGTCCTTAATATTGGAGTGGCAGATGGCTCTTCCTTAGGAGGCTTAATATTGAAATAGGGAGGATGGGAAACATAGGAAGAGTAGAAGGCTTCATAGAAGAGATAGGTGGCCTTATGCAAAAGGAAACTTTTGGCAATAGAGCGCCCAGAACAGGTGAGGCTGTGACTATCCAGGGCTGCTGGAGCATGCAGGTTTTTCAGACTGTACCATAAAGACTGCACAGCCTGGAGACCTTTGTGAGGTCTGGCCCTGTTCACAGTCAAGAATTAAACCTCGGGGTGGTTTCTTTTTTTGGGGGGGAGGCGCTTTGTGTGGTTGTAACTGCATAGAGGGGAAGAATGGGGCTGTGTCCTCTGTGAATGGGGCACATCTGACCTTTGCACATGGGCTCCCCTCCCATGATTAGGAGCCTTCATCACACAGAGTTCCCAATCACAGGGAGAGCAGATACCTCCAACCTCCCGCAACTTGCTATTCTCCAAATATGTGAGACTCCAATCCTGTTCTTCCCCCTCTGCATGCATGCATGTCATGAGCGGAGCTGGCTGGGGCCAGGGGTCAGACTAGATGGCCCGGGAGACCCCTTCTGACTCACTCTGTTTCTATGTTTCTATGCTTGCATTACGGGGAAGGCATACCTAACTAGGCTTTTGGAGGTCATTCAACATCCCCTTTTCTGAATTAGTAGTCCCTGTGTTTAGACCTCAGCCGCACACGCATGCTTGATTGTCTGGGGCCATTCACAGGTCACTGTGTTCCTCTGTGGAGCTGTGAACCCTGACCTGCAGCCAAGACTGCCTTGCCAGCCTTTACAAGCTCACCAGTCTTGAGATGCACAAAGCCAGGCAAGTCAAGGACGCTTGATTTTTTCAGACTGGGATTTCCACTTTGAACTTGCTTGAGCATTGGAGTCATGGAAAAAAAGAGAGAGGGGGAAAAAAACCCCACCTGGACCTGAAGTGAGTCCAGTGGCTTTTGCCTTGTTTATATGAGAACTTACCTCAAGACATCTTATTTGCCCTCAAGTGCCACGTGTTCTCAAATATATTGATCTCTGGATAGTTTTAGCATTAAACAGCAGCATTTGGGATCTTAAGAGCTAACTACACACCACATTAAATGCATAAAAGTGCAGCCAGTTATCATTTCTTACCATGCAGAAAACGTACAGAGACCCATTCCAGATCAGGACTACCATACTTGGGTAGGTGAGGCTTAAACATTCCCACCCATCCACACAGACACACAAAGGAGGCTAAGAAAAAGAAAAATGGGGGCCATTGGAGAGTTTCTCCGTTGTAACTTCTGCATGGGAGGGTGAATTTAGGGAGAAAGAACAGGATAGGTAAGTAGGTTTAAACCTCCCCTACCCATGCACAAATTGTCTGGATTGGGGCCCATTGTTTTGGTCTGTTTTTAATTCAATGTGGCATGCATTTTACCCCTAAGATGTCATTGGTTCTTTCTCTCTGCCTTGCCCGCTTTTGTGCAAAGGAGAGTTGACGAACAGTGATCTTGGTATCTTTTCTTTCCACAGGAGGAAGGCAAGGCAAACTGCCTGTCACAGCTTTCGAAGCATTTGATCTGGAAGTGAGGAGCTGGACCCGCTACCCCAGTGTGCCCAGCCGGCGTGCCTTTGCCAGCTGCGCCATGGCAGATGGCTGCTTCTTCAGCCTGGGAGGACTGCAGCAGCCGGGCCCCCACAACTTCTACTCACGGCCCCACTTTGTCAACACCGTGGAGATGTTTGACTTGCAAGAGGGTAAGATGGGAGAGTTGCGGGGTCTGAGATTAACTAAGCATGGTGTCTGTTTCATCGGATGGACAGAGGGATGGCTAAAGCACATGCCTAGGGTGCAGAAAACCATTTTTCAACATCAAGGTCAAATTCCATTTTGAAAGCACTCTCAGGGCTCATACTTCAGTGATAAGCAGAGTTGAAGGCAAACTGGACAGGCCCATTAATGCCAGCATATTTTAGCTTAACGCTCTTATTACCATGGAGCATTAGGAAATGAATTTCAGCCTTTTAGGATGGTGGGAGGACATTTCTCAAAAGCCAGGAAACCAGCCGCTGCACAATTTTTTAAGGAAAGGGAATTTCTTCTGGGATTCCCAGAGGGCTGGCTTGGCCACGGCTCTTGCATCCCAAGTTAAACTGTGCTTGAAGGTTTGATGACACACAAGCCCCATCCCCAGCATCTCCAGCCCTGCTTTCCCTGTTCACAGCCATGCCAGATCGAACAATAAAGTGTGAGGTGGGTGGTGGTCTACCTGAATTTGCTTGGATACAAGTGAAGCCCCTTGCCAATCAACCCAATAAAGTCAGAAGCAGAGAAGGTGATGCTAATTCACATGGGAATGTTTGGGGCAGGCCCTATACCTCTTGTTTAAGTTCATATTTCCTGTCTGGATATAATGCCTGGACAGGGCTATTGTGTGAATCCATCCATTAGCCTAAGCAGTCCATGATGATAGACGCAGCCAACCAGATTAGTGTTTGCAGCCTCTTAGTCAAAATCCGCCTTTGCATTCAGGATTCTTGCCCATTCTAAATGCTGCTTATCTAGTTCCTCTGCGTTTTCAGTGAGCTAATTTCTCTTTATAGCTTGGAAAAAAGGCAAGTCAGGGGAGATAAGTTAAAATTATACAAAATTATGCATGGTATGGAGAAAGTTCACACAAAGACATTTTTTTCTCCTTCTTTCATAAAACTAGAACCCATGGGCCAGACTATAGAATTTGCTACCGCAAGATGTAGTGATGGCCGCTAGTCTAGATGGCTTTAAGAGGTTAGACAACTCATGTCATACTAGATATGGAATATGAGGCCATCAGCAGCCACTGGTCATGTCTATGTGCTTCCTCAAGCATCAGCAGCAGTTGCTGGAGAACTAAATGGGAGGTTTCTATTGCACTTCTGTCTTTCCTGGCTTGCTGTTGTGTGAACAGAATGCTGGGCAAGTTGAACCCCTGGTCTGATCCAGCAGGGCTCTTCATATATTCTTCCCACCCGCAATCTCCCATTCAGGCTCCTGGAGTCGGCTGAACCGCGCCATCCGCATGAGAGACAAGAGGGCTGACTTTGTCGCTGGCCACCTGTGTGGACGTGTGGTAGCAGCAGGGGGGCTTGGTAAGTGTTGCTGATCTGGGACTTTCTGGTGTTGAAATGAGGGGAGGAGATGGAGATTTATAAAAAGTCAAGAATAGTTTGGGCTGAGAAGTCTGAGGACTTGTTGGATGAAATGTATCTTTGCAAAACAAAGAACCTTACATCATCTCTCTCAAATTTCTCATCTGCCCCTTTATCTGCCAGAGACATTTCTGGCCAAGCCTAATATTTTAAGCTGTTCTTTTTTGCTTTGTTCATTGCCTGGTTCTTTCTCTCTATGTTCCTATTCTGGATTGGTCAACAACAATAGCTGGATTCAGACAACACAAGTCATAGTGGTTTTTTACCATTGTTGGACGGTTGTGTCATCTGAACACAGATATGGTATTTCAGCAGGATAAGTGTGGTCTTTAGAAACCATGATAAGAAACAACGTTTCTTTAGGTTTGTTCTGTGGTTTCTCTGTACTACTATGGCTTGTCATGTTGTCTGAATCCAGAATCATGGTTTTCATAGTCCTTGTTTGCAACTGCCACAGAGTCCTCTGGAAAGAGTGGCAACTGCGAGAACTGTTCCAGACATCCACCCTCTTTTTCAGTGAGGAAGAGGCAGGTGATACAGGTAGTGTGTGATGCATCTTGGGACTGAATGTCAGACATAGTGGCTAATGGGATATGTGCCAGCAGTGGGAGGACTTAGCAGGGAGGATGGAAACCACAATAAAGTAGAAGCCACTTGATCATCTGTCAGGTACATCATGGTAAAAAACTAACCTTTAATACCCATACAGGGTTGCTTGTCATGTTGTGTGAATGCAGGCACTATCTAAGAGCTACTGCAGAGCCCATATATGTGATGCACAGAGACCATGAAGAAGATTGCTAATTTTCTGAGGTAAATTAAGCAGGAGAGGGGAGAAAGATCAGGAATACGTGCTCTGCCCTCTATTCGTGGCAGAGCACTCTCAAAGGTCCCAGGTTCAATTGGTGGCATCTCCAGTAAGTTGATCCCTAGTATCAGAGCTGCAAAAGACCTCTCAGTAGTCAAGGTACTGGGGAGCTGCTGCAGGTAGGCATAGAGAGGAGTGGGCAGAAAGGATTAAAAGGTGTGACTCTTTATGATGCAGGTTCAAATGCATAAGGTGTATTCATTCTTTAAGACAGTTCATCATGAATGAAAGGCATGGACTGTGGACTAAGCCCACATGTGAGCAAAGAGGGTAGGAGAAGAGAGTCTTAAGTGAGCACTGAGATGAATAGGTAATATCTCCTCCAAGCTATGCTACCTTGAGATCATGCTTTGAAATGTTATTTTTTCCTTGGTTTCCAGTTTTTGGTTTTTTTTAAAGATGGTCTTAGGAACATTTCCTGGTGCAGGGATATGGGGGGTTGATTATACATCCTGCAAGATGATAACTTGATTAAATGTTTATGATTTTCCTAGACAAATTAAAGTGAGATGAAGTTGCAGCTTATTTGGGGAGTTCAGTCTGAAGACTGTTTAGCATGGCTAAGGTATCCTTAACACACACTTATACCATCCTTTCTCTGCAGAGTAGTAACAGGATCGATGACAGTTTTGTTTTGTGTTTCTTGCTGTCTCACAGTTTATTATGTGTGGGATGATTCTTGCCTCTTTTAGGTGTTTGTGACAGCAGAACCATTGGTAGTATCTTTGCATGAATTATGCAATTAAGAAAGAAACGAACAACATGAAAAGCCCAACTGGTGTGCGTTTACAGAATAGTTAGCCCTTGCTTTGCTGGTGTCTGGGAACATGCCACACCTCCACCTGTCAGCTCTACCTGCTCTTTTCTTCATTGGTGCTTGCCAGAGACATGTCTCTCACCCATCTTTTCCTCTCTAGCAGATGCAGTTAAACCTTAGAAGCACATTTGATTTGCACTCTATAGGTTACAACTTTTCATAAATCAAAGTAATGTTTTCTTTGAGATGTGGAAGTAGCTTCTGCTCATGTGAAGAGCTGAAACCAACGTGAAGCATCCCCTCCTTCCCTCCCTTTCAGAAAGATGCTGACTCCACCCTCAGGGTGGCTCCCACTGCTTGAGGACTTGATGGCGGGAATGTTAGGCACTTCTTAATTGGTCCACTTGCTTCGCCTGTCATCTCCTTACAGTGTCAAGGGGCTGCCCAACAATTTGTCTTCTTCCAAGGCTGGCTGTTTCTCATGCTATCTGAGTATCTTCACTTTGCAACCCTGAAACTACAAATTTGCCTGTCCGCTTCTGCCCCGCTGCTTCCTCCTCCGAATCTGAGGAATCCATCTGGGGAGCATGCAACTTGAGAGAAATGGCCCCCGCTCTGCATTGTCTGTAGCTGCGTGCAGCCGATTTGCATCCTTTGTCAAGGCTTGTGTAGATTCCTTTGCAGAGTCCGACCGTTGTCTTTTGAGCTAGCTGTTCTGGACATGGGTGGCCATGTGCCTTCCTGAATCTGGGTCTTTCCTCCTCCCTCCTTGGCATTTGAGTCGCAGGCCTCCCATCTCCTGCTTCTGCCATGTGCTGCTGGAGCAGTGCAGGTCTCCCAGGTATAGGGAAGCTTTGCCTGTCATTTGCAGACTGGACATGTCTGCTGTGGAATGCCCACAGGTCCACATATTTTGCTAATGTTGCTGGGACCAAGCATGGCTGGAGGACTGCCTGTAATGGTTTCCACCTCCCACAGAAAATAAAATCTTTCTGGCCAGCTTTTCCATCTTTCTTTAAAAACTAGACAAGATGTGCTAACATAAAAGATAAAATACAAGAAATAAAATTTAAAATTAATAAACCCAGAAAGGTCAGCTTTGGACTGGGAGTTGGAAGCAGGGATTCTCTGAAAATGTGCAGTCTGTTTTCTTTGGCACTGGATCACTGACAAACCCTGTTATTGTAGTTAGTAGTGCCAGGGGTGCTGGCAAAGGGTGCTGGTGAGAAATGTGCCAGGATCTGCCTGCAATGTTTCTGGCTTGAGTTTGTGCTCTGAGTCTCTGCCTTTCATAAACATCACATTGGGCTGTAAATGAAGCCCTCAGATACTCGCAACAGGATGTGCCACACAATATGTCTTCTTGGAAGATGTTTTGACTTGGCGAGCGGCTCAGCTGTACTGTTCTTCTTCTTTTTTTAAACACAGCAGTCATTACCAGGGCCTCTATTGGATGGTATTGCAATTGCTAAGCTGCACCAACAGTTTCACTGTGCTGGGACAACTGCTTGGCTCATGGATCTGCCTCTCCCTTTTCTTCCAGGGAACCAGTCAAGTCCTCTGGGATCTGTAGAAGGATTTAACTTGGCAAGGAAGAAGTGGGAACCCTTGCCCTCCATGCCCACTGGCCGCTGTTCCTGCTCCAGTTTGGAGGCTGCCCACCTGCTCTTTGTTATCGGAGGAGTAGCCCAGGGTCCCAGCAGTGCAGTGGAGGCCTTGCGCCTCCAGGAAGAGGTCTGAACAATGCTCTTTTATGGATGGTTTTCTGCCCACACAAGCCAAGTGGATTTAAAGTGCCTCATGCTGGAAACAGGAAGTGCAGCTGAGGAAGCAGGAAGGAGAACACATGCTTCATCACTACAGTGGCTCCCTTTCTTTTTGCTGTTCTTCAATTGAGTTGCGTTATCTTTGCAGGGCATAAAGCAGCTCCAGAGACTGGAGAAATCTGTCCTATAGGCAGGGCGAGCAGTCAAGCCCTTGAGCTCCCTGTGTCCGTTGGAGCAAATTAGGCTCAATGGAGCAGGTTTTATCAGTTCCACAGCAGAAACCAAAGGCCCTGTATGTGCAGCCATGGTTTCTGCATTGCAGAGTCTCCAGACTCCACATGGATGTGGTAAGAATGTGGGCTGGGCTGGGCTGGGCTCAGGCTGAAGTGGCAATGTGATTGCTTTTCCCAAACCCAAGTCTCCTTTCAGCTCCCTTTCCCTTTTGTTATTTCCCCCACTGTCAGACTTTTAGACTGTAAGCTCTTCAGGGCACAGACCACTCTCTCTCTTGCTCTCTCTTTTTGCTTATGCTACTCTGTAAACTGCCATGTACATTGATGGCGCTATAATAATAATAATAAAACTCACATTTACAGCTCTACCAAGAAAACAGTGAATGATGGCATGGCAAATGTGAGTTCAGCTTGGGAGATGAATTTGTGGTTAAGCAATTATGCTGCCCAGGACACAGCACTGCCACATTCTTGCCATGCCTGTTGGACTTCATGGATTAGCCTTTCAATGTAAAGGGCAGCAAGGTTTCCTCAGCAGGCCCTGGGGAGAAATAAAAGAAGGTGCTACTGAGCAGAGCAGGTACTCCAGAGTTTCTTCTTCGAATTGTCATTGTTGTTTTTGTGCTCATGTATCTTGCGCTGCTCAGCTGAATTGATTCTAGAAAGGCTGGGTGTAGCCATGACGCCCTGTGGTGTGTTCCTAACCCAGTCTGTGTCTCATGTAGCACATAAGGTGCCCTCTAGTTCAGTGCCTAGGAGGTGGTGTAGCACCTCATGCCAATAAAAAGTGGATTTTTTCTCCTGGCCTTTTGTCTCATTCAGTTTGGGTTCTGTGTTAAGATCCACTCCACTTTTTAGCAACACCATATTCTCCCTGTTCTAACTCTGCACTTAGCTCTCAGCTGCTGCCTGTAGGCAGTCATTGCAGAATCCGCTGATAGTAGGTGATCAGGCCAAGACAGTGCATGTCCACCATTGCAAAAAAATCAGCTTGCCCTGGTCAAATGGTAAGCCATTCGATCAAAAGCCCTGTTCAGGTGAATGCGTGCAGGGTTGCCGTGGGGAGAGGGCACACACAGGCACCACCCTCACTATCTCCATGCATACCAGTTCCAGCACTGACTTTCACACTCTCACTGAATGTGCTTATGCCCTCCCTGCCATCCAAAAACCTGCATATCAGTGAAACCCATTGCAGGAAGGAAGCTAGTGCATTCAGATGAACACATTTAGAAAACGTCTTCAGCCCTTGGTGCTGAATGCAGAAAGGTAAGAAATAGAACTAGTGCATGTTGGGATGTTGTGGGCAAGTCCCTGCCCTCTTTCTGCTTTAAGTCAATATACCTGAATGCATGAATATCTGTCTGTCTGTCTGTCTATCTATCTATCGAATAGGCTAAAGATAAAGCATATTCAAGAGATTTAGACAAACGGATATGTAGAGGGAAGAAGCAAAATGGAGCAGGGATAGAAACTATTCCAAGGAGGCAGCAATATTGGGCTAGAACAAAATGGAATGTGACCTGTTGTTCAGACAAAAGCTAGATGGTACTTGGAATTATTTATAGGTAAAGCTGAAGAGCCTCAAGGCATGAGTGAAATGATGGTGCAGGGAGAGATGGGTTCAGATTTGTAAGGTGCTGGGGAACATTTTGGGACAAACCAGGCTTGTGCAAGAGGGACAGACTCCACTTGAACCAAAACAGAAACAGACTGCTGAAATTAAACATGACAAAGGCGGCAGAGAAACTTTCAAACTGAACCCTGGGGGAAAGCCTTCATGGGTTGGAAAGCATCTGGTTTGTGTTGAATCCTCCTTAGAGGATGAAAATGAAAAAAAAAATAACTGCCGTAATGTAGAAATCAGCGATGGGCATACAGTGAAACATGATAGCCAGTCAAGGCCTTAGAACCTAAACAGAAGGTAAACATGCCAGAATCATCTATCAATCCAATCTATTTTGGCATGCTTGCTTTGGAAATACCTGGCAATAGGCATAGACACTGTGTGCCTGTGGTTGAGAGCTTTCTTCTGCATTTATGAAAGGATGCCTGTGAGACCATATACCGTGAGGCAACAGCAATCACAAAAATATTAAATCAGAAACTGAAACTGAGAACAATGCAGAAAAAAGAATGAATAAAACCTCAACCTTATTTCACAAATAGCAGTTCAAAGAATGAATGACACTCCTATGAGGCAAACACAATAGTGGTCCAAGAGGAACTGAGAAAATAGGTGGGAACCTGCTGGGGGCATGTGTACTAGGACAGTGGGGGGCTTCCCCAAAAATTCCTCAATTAAAGAAGTTTCCTGAAATGCAACTTTGTGTGGACAGAGAATTCATAGGTGTGATGCACTGAGACCACAAAGAAGAATTACCTGTTTATCCCCCATCAAGTGGGGTAACTGGTTGGAATTATTTTACTTGTATTAACTTTTCCAGAGTAAGATGCTTAGGGCAGTTTACAAATAATATTTCATTGATATAAACCCTAGGGTTCAGTATATTTCCATGAGGATGTCACAAAGTACATCGTAAACACTTGCTCTGTAGCATCTCTTCAACTTCTAATTTCCAGCCACAACATTTTAGTGCAGGAGAGGGGAATTGAGATGCTTTGATTTCAAAAACAATCTAAATATATGCCTATTTATATCATGTCCATTCCCAGGTACCAGAAGTAGCAAATCAAGGTTTAAGTGCAACTTCACCTTCATGCTAGGCTCTTTGTTGAACTAAAATCTGTATTCTAGCATAGGTTAAGTTATAATTCAGTCATTCACAATTATGAATAGAGAGAGAGGCTAAAAAGCAACATTAAAGTTAAAGAAGCAACATTAAGGTCACATAAGACAATGTCCAAAGGCTGTTAAGACTCAAGAAGATTCTAAAGAAGCAGTAATTTTCCTTTCATGAGCTCTTCCCACAAACACATGCACAAGATTATCATGACAAAATGTGGGTGGGTGGTGGTGGTGGGAGGCATGTTAAACTCACAGGGTCCCTTCTGTTATATATGACAGATGTTCCACAGTCCAGCAAGGTTTTATTTTTCCCATTTTACCCAGTACAAAGGAGCATTTAACTTTCCTCTGACGGAGAGAGAGGAAACATCAGGTGTGCAGTCAATAATTGTGCCAGCGCAAACAGTCTGAGACAGTCAGTCGGGGTGGCTTGTGAGGCATAGGAGGCCCATAAGAAGGTCCTGGAATAAGGGCTTTGGCAGCTGTGCTAACATCTGTTACAGTGGCCTCAGTGGAGGTGGGAGCAGAGGCCTCAGTGGAGGTGGGAGCGGGGGCCTCAGTGAAGGTGGGAGCGGGGGCCTCAGTGGAGGTGGGAGCGGGGGCCTCAGGCTCCTCAAGTTTGGGTTCTTTGGCTTCTTGCTGTTTGACTATACTGAGACTGGGTTCGCGCAAACAGTAGCTCCGGTATGTACGCTGGTAAGTGGTGCTAGGTGTGCGTTGGAGGGACTGCCCTTGCAAGTTGGTGTGACAGACTAAGACTTGAGGGACCTTGTCTCTGGAGCGGAAGTCAGACTGGTAGCTTGAAATGAGGGGCCTCTCACGTTGTAATTCTTCCTTCAGGGGAATCCAGTCGATTATGTTATGGGTGTTGGGAAGGCTCCCCTCTATTCGCCTTCTTCCTAAGCCCTGCCACAGAACAATGTGCAGAGACCATTCATATTAGAACTGCAATAGAACCGTCTAAACATAGAGCAAGAAAAATGGGAAGGTTGCCAAGTTAAGATTAAAAAAAACTTTAAAAATTAGAAGACCATTGAAAAGTACTCTCACTGTATTTAGTAGAAACTAGTGATTCATGAACTATTCTGAACTCAATTTGGGGTTGAACTCAGCTATTTCCATTTGCACATCCCACTGGATGTGGGAACAGTAGCTGTTCTTTTCTGAAAACTAAGTCTGAATTCAAACCTCCTATTATCTTACCCATAAGAGCATTTTTGAGAGTGGGATGAGGGTTTCTAAAGTTCTCTTCATCCCTCTAGCTCCTGCCCCCCTACCTGACCTGGGGTAGCCATATCAAGAGCAATACTGGCAAAGAAAGAATTCTTTGCAGGGCTCCTAGCTTTCCTTTCTCCTTTGTACCTGGGGAACTGGTTACTGTTGCAGCATTGCCAGATTCCAGGAAGCAAAGGCAGGCAGGCAGGCAGGCAGGCTTCCAGTGGGATCTTCTCTCCCTTGTCCTCCATCACTGATGCTGCTAGACCAGGTAAATGGCAAAGAGGATGTAGAGCAGAGTAAAAGGTGGAGGAAGAGGTGCTTATATACAGTTCTGATTGTGTTTCAAGTTTGAGGAGAACTCTTAGGACATGGTGCAGGTGAGAATCATGTACCACTCGAACTGATATTACAAATTGGGATTATGTTTTGGCAACATCACCAGTAGAAAAATACCTCTTTGTTTCCCAGGGTGATGCCTGAAAAGCTATCCGATAATGTCTGATACATACTCAGTTTGATCTGATGTAAAGCTAGCTGTAGAAGGTACAAACTGGCTAATCAAGTACTTGACCAGCTGGAATGTATATTTGGCAAACTTTGCAGGTGGGTTTGCACAACTTTCTGTGGCTGCTTTTATTACCTTATATTTACCTTCACTTTGAAATCCCTGTCCCCACCACCTGATGCTTATCACTCATTCACCCACCCACAAAATCACCAGCATGCCACAATTGTGCATCTCTGGACAGATGGATATGAGATGCACAATTGATCTTCATGACTCTTACAAATTTGAGGTGGTTGGTGGAATTATATCATATGGAACTGTACCTAATATCCAGGTTATATACACTACATGTGTGCGTGCGCATGTGTGCATAATTCTGCACTAAGAAAGGCACTGCTTTCCCACATGCATTCCATTATTCAATACAAGAAATCATTCGAAAAAGGAATTATTTTAAAAAATTCATATTTCCAGCCATTTTGGCTTTAAAGACAGGTTTGGAAAATATTTGGCAAATGCCAAGTGAATTCAGATGTGGGAGCAACTTTACAGAACAACTGTTGTAACAAGACATAGGATAAGCTGATACTGAATCTATTTGTGCACAGCTCTGTCCTGTTTACTTACTCCTAACCAGCTGTTGGATTGTATCAGGCAGGCACCCACTGGATGTGAAGTTATGGACAACAGATAGTGCAGTCACAGCCTTATCCTGCTGCTGCATATAGCACAGAGCTCTTAACTTGTGCTTTTAAAAGCCAGCTGATTGGTGTTATTAATTCCTGAAGGAGCCCTGGAGGCCAAGTCTGCCAATGGAGAGGTAATCACATTGGGAATAAACAAGATGTTTCTAATCAAGCAATGTCTCTGACAGCTCTCTTGCAACATAAGATGAAAGACACAAGGGCTGTTAACTTCAGTCCTCCCTAAAACCACCACCATACTCACATTCTCAAAATATGTTGCTGATCCTGGGAAGGCATGCCTGTTGTCGTGCTTGGAGAATATGTGCTTTGAAGGGGTTTCCTTGAAAAGAGCACAAACAAGATGATCCCTCAGCAAAATGTATGGTTTGCAAGTGCACCAGTGGAACAGGTATGAAATCTCTCTCACACAGGTAAGCATGGTACAAAGAATCAAGAGCTTTAGGTACTGAGAAAAATATGGCTTTGCTTTGGCTGTGGAAAGTCATTTGTGCTTTGGCTCTCAAAGTCATATCTCCCAGCCATGGTTCATCACCCCCTTACAGATGTGAGCCTCTAGTTCTTAATGTTCTCAGTCTCCTCCACCTTTCCCACACTGCCATAAGCATCTAGGTACTTTGGAAAGGGAAAACTACATCCCAGCCCATTTTGTGAGCAGTTTCTTTTGACAGCTGTCAAAAGGAAGGGTTCTTTTCTGTCAACCTATTTAGCAAATTTAAGTATTTGTTTTGGAGATGGTAGGACATGCAAATTTTTATGGCTGTATATTTTTCTGTCCAACAAAAATTTGTAGCCTCTCTTGGTCAAAGTGCATGGGTATTGCCCACTACCCTTTTACAGCAGACAGCAGGACATTGGTCATGCAAAGCTTGATCATTTTGGTCCTTCATAGGTGTACACCTATGGAAGACCAAAGAATTAAAAATGAAATTTTGTGCATTTGTATCTTCCAAAAAATACTGTAAAATAGGAAACAAGCTAGTAACAGTTGCTTTTAAGTACTGCTTGCACATTGGTGGGGTGACTGTCAGTGGTTGTGGTAGCAGAGGACTCGGGGGGAGAAAAAGTTAGCAAAAAGGGATCACAACTGAAGCAGGAAGGGGGAAATAAGACAGGACTCTGGGACAGTAGCTGGAAGGCTAGGGGGAATGGGGAGGGAAGGAAGGGTAAATGTGACTGTCTGCCGAGAGAACCATAGATTGTCTGTGTGTCAGAAGCATTGATTTTTTCGCAGGGTGGATTGTTCTGTCATGTGAACTTGCCCTTTATCTCTTGTTTTAAATATAAACTTCACTGTTGTTCAGCATGGAATTCTGCATTTGGTCTTCCAATCATTCTGTCTCTGTTCTCCATTTCTGGAGCATTTTGCCTAAATTTCTTAATTTGCAGCATACCCTGCTGAACTCACATACCCATTCACTATGTGTCACTTGTTAATTTTGCAGCTGTTTCTTAAAAATAGTTTTCAGCTTGTGTTATGGCAGTACATTTTGATGTGACGGCCCCCATTCTCCACTGTGGTCTCTGTGCATCACTGTGCTTGTATTCAGGAAGATTCTTTCAGCTAGTAATATTTTTGGTGGGAACTCCGCTCCCCCACTCCCTCATATAAATGGGCGGAGTCCTCACCCCCTTGCCAGTCCACTTTTGACTGCCATTCGTTGTGCCTTGGGTTCTCACATTGCTTTCGATTTTCCCTCACAAACTGCTCCATAAACCTTAAACGTTATCTTTCTTCAATCAAAATTCCTTGCAACCTTAAACCTTACCATAACTTCAAACCTTCCTCACAACCCTTCCCTCTCCCCCTTCCCCTCACACATCCCACCCCCCATATAGGTAGATAGATAGATTTTAAAAGGTCTATCATCTTTCTCTACCCTCTGTTTTTGTATTCTTCCTCGATGGTGCAGCATTCTGCTTTTAGAAGGTATGGCCAGTGCAGAGTGAAGATGCCGTCTACAGACACACACTTGCTCCGCTTGCTATGTCTAGGTCAGGGGTTGGCAACCCGCGGCTCTGGAGCTGCACGTGGCTCTTGAATCCCTCTGCTGTGGCTCCATCGCCCAAAATACACATCACAGCCCCCAATCTGGGACCGAGGCTCCAAGTTACAAAATACCAATAGGTGATGATGAGGCATCCACTCAGGAACGCTGTGCTAGCAGGTCAAGTAAATTGTGACATTGCAGGGAAAGAGTGGAACAAGCTTCCTGCAGGCTCTCATGTTACACGAACCACTGCTGAAAAGATTCTCTTTGTCCAAATGTAATCTCCTTCCTTTGAATGATAAAAGCTGCGCTTGGGACCTGTCACATTTCACATCACTTGACTGTTTATCTGCTAATCAGTCACTAAACACACCTATATCTGCGACTTCCCCCAGTAGGCCAACCATGGATAAATCGAAGAAAAGTTTCTGAAGAAAACCAAATGTTTAATGATACATGGGTAGATTCATTTGCTTTTACTGCTGACAAACTTATGGGGTTTGCTGTTTAATGCATGCAGCCCTTTAGCACTGACTTTGACTCTTCAGGAAGCTGTTCTCCTATTCAAAATATATGAAAGGAGTCCTACTAGTTTATAAGGTATGGTTAAAAAATAACAGTTTTTAGTGACTGAACAAGAGCTGCAGCTAAATCATAATGGATATACATAGCATTAAGGTAAAAAAGATATATGCAGTGTTCATTTTAGATGTCAAAAGGGTTTTGCAGCTCCTGGTGTTTTCTTTTGGGTGGGAAACAGGTCCAAATGGCTCTTTGAGTGTTAAAGGTTGCCGACCCCTGGCCTAGGTGAAGGACATTGCATGGACCAATGTGTCCATTGCCAAGCCTTCACCAAACAGGCTCACAAGAACCAAGAAGATTGCCTCAAGAAATCCTGCGGGATAGAGCCTTGATCACGATAAAAGAAGCTACTGTGGCTCAGCCTGCCAGCCCTTCAACCACCAAAGGAAGTGCCCCTCCACATGCCGATCATGGTGAGAGCACCAAGGCTGACAAAGAGCACTCAGGACGGTCTCAATCTCCTAAGATTCATAAGGAGAAAAGGAAACACCTCAAGACCAAAGGGACTACTAAAGACAAACATCCCAGGAAGGAGAAGCTGCAGAAGAAAAAGAAGCAGCATTCTCATTCAGCATGGAAGCATGTTCCATACCAACATACAATGGAACAGGGCATCTCGGTACTGAGTAAGCCTCTGTTCTGTCCTCCCTCGATATAGATGACACTGAGACCATCTCCTTGCTGCATCCCAATTTCCAATTATGAGGCCACTATGGCCCACTATCAATACTTCCTATGGCAAAAGATTGAGTCACTCACTGCATTCATTCCTGACCAACCAAGGGACCTAGCCAGATGAGGCAATGCAGCTTTCCAAAAGGTTGGCAACAGCAAGGTATCATGTAGATTGTGACTCCAGTGTACTTGTTGGTGCAGTGGCTCTCAGACAGCATACATGGCTACGAGCTGGTAACCCCCCAGAGAAGACAAAACAACAAGTGGAAAATATATGTTCAACAGGACCAGACACTTCCACTCAAAAACATGAAAAACTGGACAGCATCCACAAGGCACATCCAACAGCTTGCAGAATGGGATGGGGACCCTCCCAGCATCGCAACCATAAATGGTCTTGGAACAGACAACCACAATATTGCCCCTTCCAACCTATGCAACAGGGATACCCCATGGGGCACCAGTCCTTCCAGCACAGACAAACCGTCCTCACTATACCAATGCTCCTCTGCACCAACCTTCCAGGAAGCGTGTCGATACGGACAAATGCCAGCACTGATGGGCAGCATGAACTAGTCCTCTGTCAAGCTCACCTCTCCCATTTGGGGATCTACTCCAACATCATCTCCCCATATGGGAATCCACCACTTCTGATCAGTGGGTTCTTTCCATTATAGAGCATGGGTATATAATTGAGTTTGAAACACTGCACCTCTTGAAGCAGTCCGAAGAACACCGGCTTCACCAGTCCTGCTAGAGGAAGTAAGCACACTACTTTGTAAAGAAGTGATTTGAAAGATTAGCTATTCAGACAAACAGCACAGTTTCAACTTGAGGTACTTCACTGTACCGAAGAGGGATGGAGGCCTTCACCCCATCCTAGATCCGCATGGAGTGAATTGCTTTATCAAAAGTAAAAAATTTAGAGTGACCACGCTATCAGACCTTCAATTCAAGTGGATGTATCAACATAAATTCAAATCCCAGTTTTTTCTGAGTTCAGGCAACTGACAATTCTTGGTTCCCTTGGGTCAGTCACTGACTCAGATAATGCCCAAATGAGATAACATGTGCCATAAAGAATTGTGAAGATAAAAGAATAGAACCTTATATATGCTGTCCTGAAACCTTAGAGGAAGGATGGGATGCAAAAGTGAGAAAGCAAAAGAAACACCACACTTTTGATTTTACAGAATGCTTCACAATTCTTATTCAGGTGAATGGCAGGAAAGTAAGTTAAGATGAGGGGCAACATCTTGACAAAGGGAACCACATGGAGCAGAAGGGATTTGAATTTGGGTCTCCCACACTGAAATCTCCAAGATTTTGATGCAGCTACAAGGTTAAATACCTTCTGGTATGCTTTTTATTACAGATATATTTTAGCATGCTTTCTCTAAGGCTAAGACCCTTGAATGACTTGGATGGCTTTAGAACAGGGTTCTAAAGGCACAGAAGATATATCAGGAACTACTAGTATATTTCTGAGTGCTTTACAGCAGTTTAGCAAGGATTTCTGACTCCCACTGGATTAACAATATCAGCCTCAGAGCAGCTTTTCCTACCTAGTTAGCAGCTCAAATGAAGAAAGCTTGGGGTAACCAGAAACAGTCTCTTCTGTGAAAGGACTGTTAGTTCCATTCAATTCTAGTACCGGAAACCGATTCAGAATGTGCTCACAGGAACCCTGTTCTTTGATGCTTGGATGTATGCCTATTGCATCTGGCTCTGGCTGGAAGATCCTGAGATTCTAGTCAAAAAACAAAACAACTCCAACAAGCCTGAAGTCTGCCCACCCCTGACCTAGAAAGGGTCATGTCGTGAGCAGAGCTGGCTGGTGCCAGAGGTCAGACTAGATGGTCCGGGAGGCCCCTTCTGACTTGCTCTGTTTCTGTGTTAGTTGCGAAGTCGTGTCCAACCCATCGCGACACCATGGACAACATTCCTCCAGGCTGACTTATCACAACCTATCACACTCTGGTGGCTACAGGAATTTTCCATTTTGCTTTCTTGGGCCAGAATTTCCTTCATAAACAGTTTCTACCTCTGTCTTCCTGGTGTTTCATGTTTCTCTGGAGCACTAGAGTGTTCAAGGTGCTAATCTCTTATCATCCCTATTGTGATATTTGAGCCAGTATGACGTACTCTACAACCCTGGGGATTGCAGCAAGGGATTTATCTGCATCACCTCATGTACTTTTCAAGAACCATATCCTGTACTTGGGGTGAATAACATAGCAATAAGGTTGCAACATGCAATCACTGTAACTCTTCTATTATTTGCACCCACACCCTTAGTCCATCGCCAAGGCAGTTGCTCTCCCCTTGATTGCAAAGGTCTACTGTCTGCCCCCTCCTTGAAAATCCTGGCATATGCCTCCTTGACTACTGCAAATCCCTTCTCTCTGGTATTTCCAATATCACACCTCAGCCAACTCATTTCATCCAGCACTCTGCTGCGAAAATTATTCACTTTTTCATTGGTGTGATCATGTGATGCTCATACTCTTACGTAAGTCCCTATACAGGCTTCTCATCCTGGCTTTCAAATCTCTGCACAGCTTTGTTCACTCTCACCCTCATCCCCACCCCCAAACCCTTTATCTCTTCACTCTCTTATCAACATGTCCCTTCCTGTGATGTTCGGTATTCAGCTCCATCACTTGCAACTGTTCAAACATCTCTTGCTCCCTGAAATGACACTGCCCTTTCTACAATGACCTTTTCTCTCAAAATGCTTCCATGTGGCTCTTCCCTCCCTCCCTCCCTCCCTCCCTCCCTCCAAATTCTCCTGAAAATTCACCTTTCTAGAAAACCTGGAATAACTATCTGGTCCCAATAACCAATTTTAACCATGTTAAGTGTAAAATAATCACATATTCTTTCCCCATTTTAGTTTTCCTGTGTTACTTCCTTGTATCTAGTTTTAATGACCTTTGAAAACCTATCAAAACTGTTACTTGCCAAGTGCCATATATGTACATGGTGTTATAAAAATAATCCAGATTCAGCCTGCATCTATATAGCATGCCAGTGAACAGATTTAGTTTTATGCAGAGTCTGAAGCACAGCCTTCAAGTAAATTTACCTGGTTCTCAGAGCTGAACACATTGTGCTCACCTTGTCTTGGTAAAGACATGCCTTTTGGCCACCTGGCACCTCTAAGCCAAGTCCCTGATACGGTGCACCCATATAAACCACTAAGAGAGAACTCTGTCCATTTCATTCTGCTGAGATGGGTGACTGTCCCACAGTAGAGGAACAGGGCAGCTGTGGAACTGTCCTTTCACCTCGCTTGTCTTCAAACTATATAGATTGCAAAGCTATGTACTCCTTAAGAGATCTGCCCTAGTGGCTGAAATGGGCACATTCAAATGAATTAATAGTGCAGTCCTATCAGAATGCACATAAATCCCTGAACTCAGAGGCTTACAGGAGTACAATGCAAGTGGAAGGAGCAGCAGAGACAATCTTTGCCTCTCCATCCTTTCACTCTGCACTTTTGCTGGGTGGGCTTTTTGAATATCTAGCTGTAGCAGCACAGAGCAGGAGCAAAAGAGGCTGGAGAAGCTTCAGGATACCTCATATCCTGGCTCCCCAATCTCCTCCCTACCTGCTGTTGTCTTCAGTGTGCCCTTTCCCCACTTTTCAAGGTTACTATCCTGACCTTGGAAAGCAGCAGGCTCAATTTTTTTAGCACCAACTGTGAGAGGAGGAGCCCTGATTCCCAGCTCTGAGTTCCCAGGCATTAACAGCCTAGTCACTCTGTAAGGCCAGTTGCAGTATAGCAAATATGGCCAACTTCTGAACATATGAAACTGTCTTAAATTGATTCTGACCATTGGTCCATCTAGCTCAGTGTTCTGGATGGCTGCACTCCCCCAGAGTCTCAGGCACTACTCTTCTGAGCCCTGCTACTTCAGTTACTTGAGTAACACTGAACATAGTGTTAGGGGAAAATTTTCTTCACTAGTGGAACTCTGCTGCCTTTTCCTATTGAGAAAATGCTAGCAGACAACTTTGCAAACTTTTGTGCAAATGGTTGTGCATGTGGAATTAAAACTGTATTCTTTCCACTACAGCAAAGCTATTTGCACTAACAAAGTGATACCACAGGATACAATTCAGTCTCTGAAGAAGCTGGAGATAAAGCCAAGAATGATCTACATGCAAGACATGTTCTGAACTGCCAAGTTATAGCACTTCCCTTCTCTGTTCTCAAAAACCACTCTGTTCTCTACATAGCTGTTTCTGGAGTTGGTGGGGGAAGTAAATTGTCCCACCCCTTCATTGGTGTTTAGCAGTGCTTTTTTTGTAAGAAAAAAGGTGCCGGAACTCATGAAATTATTTACCTTTTGCATGTAGTCAATCACTGTACACACACCCACACACATCAGTTGTGTAACAAAACATAATGGTCGCTGCATGCAGTAAGCACTTGGGGTGCCACCACACAACCAATCACAAGCCGAGCAGTGCCATCACAACCAGTGCGGACGAAGTACGCATGCATCGGATTTGACACACAAGCAGCCCGTATGCACCGTTTTAGTGATTTTGCCGCCGACCTGCTACACTCAACAAGGCGATTCAAATCCATGTGGACCAAACATCAAATTTTCAAAAGTTATTTTTAAAACTTGGAGAATCTGTCGAGAAAAGGTGCCGGAACTCTGTTCCGGTGTGTTCTATGACAAAAAAAGCACTGGTGTTTAGGCTTTATAATAAAGTCAGTACCATTAAGCAACACAGGTCTCAAAACCCAAAGAGAGATGGCACATCTCCTTTATAGCTGTACAAAACAAAATTTTCTAGAAAAGTGACACTGTTACCAAACATTTACCTTGATTAACATTTAATAAGGTGGCTAGGGACCAAAAACAGCATTCCAAGCATTACTTCTGACCCTAAAATAGCTGCACCTTTGTACCTTTAATAAAAGGTACAACTCCAAATTCCAATTTCAACAGGTGGGGTTTGTCATGTCATAAGAAAAACAGCACTTGCTCAAATGTACACACACATTAGGGAACAGGAACCCTGCATTTTGCATCTAATTACCTTACCCCAAGATCAGATCAGATCTCCCATTGATACACATTGGGTTTACAATTTCATCCCTGCGTGAAATAAGCTGAGAACTAACACTTTGATTTGAGAATAAGCAGTGGGAGTGCTTCCTAGCAAATAAAAAGGATCAGAGCAAGAGATTATCTGAGCAGCACAGATGTAGAGTCACATGAGCTAAGTCAGTGGTTACAATAGGCTGCTCCGTTTCCAGCCTTTGCAGTGCTACAAATTGAAAGGACTTGAGGCACTGTGAAAGCAGATGCACTATCGAGTGGCAGTCCTGATTTTATCTATTGTCAAAACTGCTGAAGGTGCCCAAAAGAGAATTAAAAGGCAGCTGCCTTCATCCACGAATGGGGACAATTGTCAAACCTCTTACTGTCAGTGCCCAGATGCATTCAGCTTGGGATATTCGGCTTCGGTGAATGGGGCAGCATAGAAATGTTTTAAATAAATAAATTAAATAAATATTGACCAAGCAATTAAATAGGGCTTAGCTCTATCACAAATCCCACCAGATAGATTTTACAAAAGGAGGACAGGGCTAGTATTTCCATGTAACCATGACAAAAGATAATGAACTATTTTTAATCAGTTTGCAATGAATCTGAGATTCCATTCATAAGCAGGTAACAGCAAAGAATAGAAAAGGAGAACTTCCACTAATGCTAACCTCAAACCCTTAGAATTTATCTTATTTTATCTGAGAAATTTACATCTGCCTCTCCACTATAAATGCCCTCAAAACAGCTGCTAAAAATAGCAGCAGGACAGTTAATAAGCAGTTAACAGCATTCCTGGTAATTAGAAAGTTTTTAAAGTTGCATCTAGCTTAGGTTCTAAATGTATGATATTTACTTCCTCATAAAACTGATCATAACTGAAGGCTACCACATTACTCCAGCTTCCTAAAAGCAGAAAAAAATATTTTACAACATATTATGCCACAAGTTTTTCAACTTTCATACCCGGGACTTTGCTTATCTCCATAGATGATGTGGCTATATTCAGGAACTATTTGTTTTTTCACCTTAACTGAAACCCAGGATGTTCAGAAAGAGGGGAGAAGGTTAAAAGAGAGAGGAAAATAAAAACAAAAAAGGTAGGTTCTGACAAAATAAATTATCAAGTTTGGATTAGGATTTTTATTTAGGCCTTCTCATGCTGACATACAAGAAGAGAATTAGAGAGCCAGCGTGGTGTAGTGGTTAAGAGCATGGGACTGGGACTCAGGCGATCCGGGTTCTAGTCCCCGCACGGCCATGGAGCCAACTGGGTGACTTTGGGCCAGTCACAGACTCTCAGCCCAACCTACCTCACAGGGTTGTTGTTGTGGGGATAAGATGGAGGAGGAGAATGATGTAAGCTGCCTTGAGCCCTTTGTAGGAAAAAGGCAGGATATAAATGGAAAAATAAATAAATAAATAAATAAAATTTAGTCTCCAATAGGAATATGTCACAGTCTGGCTTAATAACTGAACCGGTACCAATAGGAACAGTAAGTTAGAACGACAACAAATTCTTATCAGTGATGGAAGCTGGTGTTTTATGACAACAAGTTTCATCCTAATTTTTAAAGAATTTCCATTTTAATCTATGAATTTTTATTTTTTTTAAATAAATTTATATACCTTTTATAAACTGGATGTGCTATTGGGAGTCATTCTGCTTGCTTGTTTGGAGTACTATATTATGCGAATTGTATCATCTGCATACTGGTTGATTTTATTAAAAATTAGAAAGGGGCAAGAATGAAGAATTTCTGGGTCTTCTCTGGGAACCTGTCAGTGACTAACAAGAGACATCTTGTCACTCACCTTCATTCTCCTCAGGAAGAGATCAGGAGGTTGTGGCTGGGCTGCTTTACGATACTCCTGGGTGAAGTCACTCCTGCATCTGCTTCTGAAGTTGCCATAGAAACCATTGGCGTGCTAGAGCAAGACAGGCAACAGGGAGCCCCTAATTAGCAATTGAGCAGTGTAATCCAGCAGCCTCTCCAAACTTGCTGGTTAGTTTGATAAGGCCAGTGGAGGTCATACTTTGCTTCTGACAAAGACAAAAGGAATTTACAGGGATTTCTTATTATTCTTATTACTGACAAGCAAAATGACTCTTCAGGCTGGGGCAAACAGACAGGCAAATCTCTGAAGATGCTTGCCTGCTTCCCGCTGGGATCTTGGGTCATATATCGAGCCAAGGGCTTGTCAAGAGGGCTTCATTTGGGAGAATCAGGAGTGCTGTTTCAACACTCTAAGTCACCAGAGTCCAAATGTGTGGAGTGCTTCAGCCTGAACTCGTCCTTACCAGTCTATTTGGCTGGCAGAGGGACATTAAGCAGTTATAGGTCATGTCTGTTCAAGGCCTAATCAAGCCATACTGCCTTGCTGAACTCACCTTAGTACTGTCCTGGATGAAAAGACACTCCCCAGCAACATTTCCTGTACTCCTGCTTCTGTTCTGCTGCATCCAACCATGTGTGTGGGACTTGAAAGCCACAGCTTTAAAAAGCCTTCAATATTTTGTTGTTGCAAATAGGCAAAGAAGAATATCCCATTTCTCAAACCAAAGATCATTTAACAAGCACTCCACCATTATTATACATTTTGAAAGCTTTTAATGGTCTGTTACGCACTGTCTTAACTTTGTCTTATCCTGTTCTGCACTGATTTAAAAGCTAAGAGGCCAACAATTCTTTTGGTTAAAGATGTAGTTTCAAAAGATAATTATCCTACACTTTGTTATCAACTGTTCAAAATATACCTCAATGATTATAGTGTGTTGATATGGCAGGCTATGCCCTGCTTAGTGTTTTAGGGTGTTTCTGGACAAGACCTTTATTGTGCAGTTGCCTTGCTTCAGTTGTGGAATTATACTGGGGGTCCTGAGATGATCACATCTTCAATTTGTAAGCCATCCTAAATTTTCCTGCCACTTCCAATTTTTTTTCTTATCCAAAAGAAAAAGAAAGAAAAAAAGAGAGAAAAGGAAAAAAGAGAAAAATTTTCTAAGGAATTAAAGACTGAACAATGTCTTTTGATTGTTAGCTTTATGAGCCCTCCATCTGGGAGCATCTTTAATGTTTGTGCACATATATTGATGATGTGCTTTAGACAAAATGTTCATGCAGAGATTTGAGCTTGTCTGTGGAGGGAGCTGCATCTCAAAAATGACATCTGAGACATATTATGGAAAGCTGCCTAGATTACATAAAGTCAACAATAACAATTTTAATAAGTAAGGTTTATTGAAAACAAGCATGCAGCATGCAGCTCAGGGTTGGAGTTTAGGATAGGCATGACTGGGCACCTATCAAAGCATCTCAGCAGGGGCCCACTAACAAGAATTCCCTGAAATTGCTTGTCTTCCTTACCATTGCAACCTACTTGTTCACCTACCACTCAGTGTGGCTCAGACAATAGTGGTGGTGAGGAGGAGGAGCAGTAGATACCACTACTGACTGGCTTACTGGCTTTCCACCTGTCAAACAAACAAGTGGTAGTAAGGTGAGGAACAATAGCAGCAGGAGGCAATGACATGGAGAAGACAGTCCCATTGAGGGATGGCCTATTAAGAAAATCTAGCTCAAGGAGCCTCAAAAACCTGGAAACATTAATAATGCTGCAAGCAATGCTGAACAGAAACTAAAAGCACAATGCCAGAGTGCTAACTCAAGGAACTCCTCCTATGCCAAACAAAGAGGGCCAGTGTGTTTCCTACAGTGCCAGCAACTCGGCAATCCTTCAAACCTAAAAATAACAATTTATCAAGGACAGGATCAACAAACAGGAGCTGGCTCTCTGGTGTGTGTAGTTATGGAGGAAGAGCAGAGAAGCGAAAGGGCACCAAAGTTTCACTCTCTGACCACTGGAAATCACATTCAGCAGGATTTCTGAGATTTCATCAGGCATAGCCCACAGTACTTTGAAACTTATTTTGCAGCCCTAATTGACTGAAAAGATAATCTAAAACCAAATGAATGCAAAGAGTCACAATATATGTAATGTAATAACGACAATATATGCTGAATTCTGGGTATGCTTGTAGGATGAGATTGGGAATACATATTGCCCTAATTGTGGGCATGGCAAAAGATGGAGGCCCTGTTCTGAAAGTGTTTCTGCTATTGGAAAGAACAAAAGGGAAGGGCTAAGATGGAACAGAAGCAGGCAATCAAAGACCACTTTCATATGCTCATTGTCTGGTCTGTGTGCCATGACTGAGGTCACAATCCTCACTGCTACAAAATAGCCATTATAGCTTCCACAAAGGTTAAGTCCTGTATCTCTAACCTATTATTCCTTGAGAGTGTCAATAAGCATGGGGCAATCCAACAGAGATTGTTTCTTTGGACTTTTGACAAATACCTTCACCAAAGACTCCTGAGCAAATTTAGTATCATGGAATAAAAATGGTGTGTGTGTGCGTGCGCGCGCACTCTTATGGATCAGTAATTGAGTAAGGAACAGAAATCAGAGAGTGGGAATAAAGGAAAATTTCTCACATCAGTGGGGTTCCACAGAGCTTTGTATTAGGATCAATGTTTTTTTTTAACTTATTCACAAATGATCTGGAATTAGGAGTAAGCCGTGAAATGGTCAAATTTGATGATGTCAGGGTGCTTTATGGGATTATGAGGAGCTCCAGTGAGATCTCTCCAACCTGGGAATGGACATCAAATGGCAAATGCAGTTCAATGAAAGCAAGTGCAAGGTAATGCATTCTGAGACCAAAAAAAAATCTCAGCTTCAAGTATAGGCTGATGGAACCTGAGCTAGCAGTGACTGATCAAGAAAGGGTGTGTGTTTATGTGTGCGTGTGTGTGTGTGTGCGCGTGCATGCAGGCATATGCATGTGCACGCATGCACAGTCTGATGAAACTGTCAACCCAGTGTGCAGCTTCCATGAAAAAGGCAAACTCTGTGTTTGCCATAAAAAAGACAAAAGGTATAATTAGGAAAAGAATTGGAAATAAAACTGTCAAGATTGTATTCTCCTTATACAACTCTTTATTGTGACTGCACTTAGAATATTGTGTACAGTTCACACCTGGAAAAGGATATTATTGAGTTGGAAAAATGCAGAGAATGGCAGAGAAGAAGGGCTGTAAAGTAGTAAAGAAATGAAATGAATAAGCAAACAAAAATGAACAAGCAGATGAAACAACCCTCTATGAGGATTGCTTACAACAGCTGGGATTGTTTAGCTTAGAAAAAAGGCAAATACAGGTTTTTCTCCAGCTCTCATCATGCAAGAATCTGAGGTCACCCCATGAAGTTGATTTGTGGGAGATTCAAGATATATAAAAAGGAGCCACACAGTGCAGTGGCTATCTCTGTTATCAGATGTGGCTTGCCTGTGAATACCAATTGTTGAGGACCTTGGGTGAGTGGAACTCTTGTACCCATTATGTGGGAGGGATCCTGTGAGCAGCTGTTTTGCTATTGTTTGAATGGAATGCTTGACTGGATGGACCACTGGATGGACCATAGTGTTGCTGTTCTTATGTACTAATGTAAGTTCCATCTTTCATCCCTATTGCATTTCATCAATGTGTCTCAAACAATAGATTACAAGCCATGCCACTCCATACTGAGTTGTTATTATGAAAGAATGGCTGTAGGGAATAGATATATTAGCTTGAAAAAAATAAAAATAAAATTGGGAACAGGGCATTCTGTGATTTTATTTACATTTAGAACTCTTGTAAAAGCAAAAGGGAAAACATTTGTTCATTTTATCTATGAAAAAATGCAAAAGAAAAGATAGGTTCATGTAAGCCAGTTTAAATAAATGTTAGAAACATGATGTATATGTAAGTAAAGTTTGAAATCTGACTGCTTTCCATGGAGATTTTCCAGAATAGGCTGGACCAACATTTATCAGAAATAATTTCAAAACAATGCTGTAAGGTACAGGGTTGTACCAGATGGGCTATGGGATTATTTATTCTATGAATCAATTAGGCTGAATTCAGAATAGTCCAAAAGGGAAAAATTGAATACCTGCTAGAATATTATGCCAAGGTCAGCTTAATGAAATTTTCCTAAATGCTAAGAACACATCTAGAGTCAGAGAAAAACCTAAAGTTTAGGGTTTTTCTTTTTCCTCTGTAGGCAACAAGTCCCCCTTTAAAGTTAAGGAATGTGGACCTCTGGTTATATACCATCCAGGCTATATAACTGTTTTGCAAGATAGCTACTTGCTTTGTAGAATTAGAGCATGAGCCAGTGAAATAAGTCTTTCTGAAGAATAATAATGTGATCTGAATTGTAATAGTGTAATCTGGGGTGTCCTTAAGCAATTATGTGATTGTTTCATATGTGCCCCAATTGTAATTAAACCCATAATTTTATTATTTACCTTCATGGTAGTGCCAGCCCACCCTAGTAGCACTAATTGGCTAGGCCTCTTCATACATAGCACTTGCTTGATGTGTGCTTCTACTGCACAGGGATGGTTGGAAAAAAAATGGAATGGGAGGCATGATGCAAAAGGAAGACTATAGATGCTTTCAGACAAGACTTATGGAGCTATCATCCTGCCTCATTCATGGACTTTTGTGGGGGGTCCAGACACAGTTGTCTTCAACTTGAAACCCCCCTCATGTTTTCCCACTGCTTCTTTCATCTTTTTTCTTACCGCAGAAAATCCGTAAAGGAAGAAAAGACAGAATAGCTGCACAATGCCTTCTCATTTGTAGCACTAGGAGCCCTCCGTCTGGAAGCACCCTATGAAATCAGGAGGCAAGAGGAAGAAATAGATGGGTAGCCCACTAAACATAGGATTCAGTGTGAGGCATGACTGAATCATTTATATACATGGGTATGTGTGTGTGCGTGCGCGCGTGCATGTGTTCATGGACAGCTGGAATTATAGGATACAGTTCATGGATGAGGAGAACTGATATTTTTGTATTTGAAGCCCACAGAAAGAATATATGATAAGATTTTGTAGCATGTAATAGCAAGTTTGTGATTTATGCAATATGTTGTTCCTCTAACAAATAATATATAAGAAAAACTACAAAGAATCTAATATCAAATGTGGAATTGTGGAAGTATCATTAGTTCAATATTAGAATGATAAGTCCCATAGAATAAAAGACCTTTCATTCTTGGTAATATGGATGGACAAGATTTTTTTCAGAAAAGAAACCCAGATGGTTCTTGAAGCTAAATGCAAAGACTCCTTTTGGCATTAATGAGGCCTTCAGTCTTGCAACACTCTTTTGAAATGCAGCTGTTTCTAACCAGGTTTTGTGTACTTAAATGCCTAGCTTCTTCTCCCAGATCTAACATATTGTAGGAAACTGGCATATGAAGAGCAAACAACACATTGCATTATACTAATAAAGTCAGTTTTGCTCTTATTCATTCATTCAGTTTTGCTGAATGTTTGTACATAGTTTGTCTATTTTGAGCCTTTTTTCAGGTTTTGCAGTGCTTTAATAGCATCCTATGATGATGATGATAGATATTTATAACATGGCTATGGTATATAATGCTGAACACAGGAAATATTTAAAGTCTTTAGATGCTATATGTTTTTTTAAGATTTTCTGAAACATGTTGGATTTTTTTTCTATCATTAAATAAAGCATACTATTTGTTTTTGACTTTATGTTTACATTTGGCCTGGAGCATCAAATGCCTAAGGCTGCTCCTGTTTCCTGCCTGGGGTTAACATGCTATAGTTGCTAGGCAACCATAGACCTTCCTCCCTACCTACTTTACCCTGAGAAAAACATAGTGGGGTACCATGTCTCCTACTCTTTAGAAGGCAGCCCACTATTTGAAGGCATCTTTTACCTGAAGAGCTATCCAGGCCAAGTCTAGTTTCAGCATAAAGAACCATGAGAAGGGATAGTGGCAGGGACTGCAGTTTCCTGACAGGAACATCTTCCTCACTATGTTGAGAAGTATTATATGTCTGTTTAATTGGTAGCAATTGTGTCTAAATTTGCACTTATAGAAATTAGCATATACAAAATTTATGCAAATCTCCCTCTCCTTTGGTTCTCTTTTGGTGATGCAGTTCCTCTTTTGTGATAAGTAACTGATCACACTAGTGGGGTTCAGTTGTGAAGAAGTGAGGAGGAGGAATGGAAACGCACAGAAGGGAAAAAGAAGATATGGATTCAGAGGGCTCTATTCAGAATGCCTTACTGCTAAGGGATGCCTTTTTAGAGACAACTGTCAAAATACTGGCTCAAGCAGCACCAGCCATTTGATTTTGCCAGGGCTCAAACCCAACACATGAAGTAATAACAACAATGAAAGTGTTCTTGAGCCACAGTAAAATATTTTTTTCCTTACCACTATGAAAATGTACAGAGTTTCCACACACCAGAGATTAGGAGGAAGAATTTCTGGACCACAGCATGGTATTTCCAGGCACATTTGAACCCCATCGTCTCTTTTTCTAGAAAATATGTTGTTTTCATGAGGCCCTTACAAACAACATCAGACAACATTCATCACAAGTATTAAGCTTACCCATGTCCCTACAATAGGACTAGGCATCCCCTCAAAATCTGAGGGGAGCTGCCTAAAAGCAGCCAGTCCCCTCAGCTATCAGAACAGCCACCTGAAGCTGGCTGGGGTCTGGCCTTAGGACTTGCCACCCATGTTTATATAGTTGCTAAGCAACTATTCTGTGAGAAAAGCATAGATTGTTAGATCAAGGTAAGATGTCTGCCTACTCAATGACATTCTGACACAATTCTTCCCTTTTGGGAAGAAACCTAAGTTATTTATTTAAAGCATTTTTCAGGAAGCACTATGCTCATAAGGATGCTTACAATATTACAAAAACATGAACATATGATTACAATTAAACACACACAATCCACTAGTTAATGCATGTTTATGCACCAGATACAGAAAGGAATAAATGAGTTCTCTTTATTCCTTTCCTTTTCCTTTTGTTTTTGTTTTTTGAGTGAGCAGGGGTGAAGACATACACATCTCCCTGGGGAGGGAGTTCCACCAGTATGGGACTACCACAGGGAAAACTCTATTCCCAATACCAACCATCTTTTGCTAGTGGGTCAGAAAGAATGGCTTCTGTTCATAAGTGGTCCTTCAGGTAAAATTATGCCAAAACATTTAGGGCTTTAAAGGCCAAAACCAGATCCTTGTACATGCAGTCAATGTAAATGATACTTGATGAAAATGTGGACAGTTATAGATAACTAGTTGCTTGATACTGTTTGGAAATGTCAGAAGGCTGGGTGAACTGAATTGTCAACTGGTTAGAATAAAGTGGCTAGTCTGCTTCTGTTCCTTTCAAGGGGTTTGAAATTAGTATGTGAAGTATTTCCTAGCACTGGAGAGCCAGCATGGTGTATGGGTTTCAGTGCTGGACTGGAAGATCCGCGTTCTAGTCTCACTATCTGATTCTCAAATTAACCTACCTCATAGAGTTTTGTGATAACAAAGTGGAGAGGAGCAGGAAGATTATGTAAGCCATCTTGGGTTCCTTGAAGGAAAACAAAGGTGGGTTATAGATATAATAATAAATAAATAATCACGATCACTTACTAATTGCCGAAGATCAAACTGCTGGTAAAGGACCAGTTCAAAAATTTACAATCCTAGTATGAAACTATGCCCTTATTAAACATGTGAAGATGAGGTTTCTTTCATCTTTGTAGCACTGCAGTAGAGGAAGATGCATGTGTTGAACTTGAACTTGTCTGTTGGTTATTAATGACATAGAAACCTAAGTATCGGAAACTCTAAATTGGATTATCATATTTGACAAGTGTTCATCTTTCTGTTTCTGCCTTACTACCAAGCTTTCCTTCTCAAATTATCACTTCTCTTGAGAGGAATGGTTGTCCCTATACCATTCACAAGTTTAAATTGCATTTTGGCCTAGCATTGAGATCTGTCTTTAATAGACATTGTTACACATATTCAAACTTCTTTCTATGATTGTGAGGTCTAAATTATGTGCTAGGTTCTTTTTTTTTAAGAATCTTGACAAATCCAGGAGGCCATTTTTGAGCAAGAGTCCATGTTTTTGTTGTATAGCAATTATAATGCCTTTTGACATAGACTAAGGCTGTGATCTTTTTCTATTATGTGTGCATCAGTTCCGCTAAAATAAGTACATTTTATATCTGAATATGTGCCTGCAAGATCATAGCCTCAGAATGGAAACTCATCACACAGCCACATTCTTATATGCAAATACCTAATAGGAGTAAATTTAGGGATAATTGCCATTCATGAACATTTGATCTGTTTAAGATAAACATAGAACTTCAAAGTCAGTGCTTGACAATAGCCCTAAGCTCTGTGCCATGGAGGAGAGAGAACAAAGGTGGAGTCAGCTGTCATAGATGACAAAAGAGGAAAATGTTCTTCTTTAATGAAAATTTGCCTTTTTGCATACAAGCTCTCTAAAAATATAAAATCTAATTTTCTGAACTCCAAAAATCCAGCTGGCAATCAGCACACATGCACCTCTGAAACAGGATATGTTCTGTGGGATAGCAGAAACTAACTGATGCCAAGTTTATCAAAATTGTACAGTGCCAAAGCAAATAATTATTACTTAACAATGATAGAAATGTCTTAAATGAAATCCAGTGAAACTTTTGGCAATGAAACACAGAATTTTGAGAAAGAAAAGTAAAATTACATGTTTTTTTTCTCATGGTCTGTGCAATGGAAGTAAAATAGCTGAATATCATCAGTATGAAGGCATTTTAATAGATCTTTCTTTGTTCTTATGGCCAAAAGGAAGAATTCCACAAAGGAAGGGCAAAGGAAGGATAAGATTATGCATGTGCAGTGAAAAAGTGGAGCTTTCCAGCACATAGTTATCATCATTCAGAGGTCAAGCTTATTTCTTGTATGTGACTGTTGATTCTTCTAGGCCCTACGATCCTAATGGAGTTTTTCCCACACATACTCAGCTGACTAGTCTTAATAAATTGAGTCTCAATCCAGATAAGATGGAGCTGTTGTTGGTGGGTGAACTGTCTGACTAGTTGAGGGGCCTTCAACCTGTCCTGAATGGGGTCGCACTCTGTAGTAAAGGTCTGTAGCTTGGGGGGTGCTCCTAGAAATTATCATTTGAGCCTCAGGTAGACTCAGTGGCCAGGAGCACCTTCCCTCAACTAAGGTTGATTTACTAACTGTGGCCCTACCTGGATAGACAGAGCCTTGCCTCAGTTATCCACAACTTGACAACCTCTCAATTGGACTATTGCAATGCACTCTCCCTAGGGATGCCTTGAAGATGGTCTGCAAAATTCAGCTGGTTTAAAATAGGGCTGTGTGGGTGCTAACAAGAGTTTGTCCACACACTCTGATTGTGCCAATTTTAGATCATTTTCACTGGCTGCTGGTTGAGGTCCAGGTCTCATTTAAAGAGCTTGTCTTGCTATATAAAGCCCTAACAGCTTCGGAACAGGATACTTGAAGGACCCCCTACTTCCATATGTACCTATCCATCCGCTAAGATCTGGTTTATAGGTCCTTCTCAAAGAGCCATCACCTAAGGAGTTGAGAAGGATGATGAATAGAAGAGGGGCCTTTTTGGTGGTTGTGCCCCACCTCTGGAATAAGCTCTCCAGAGTAGTAAACCAGGCACCCTCATTGCAATCATTTCAGTGCCAAGTGAAGATGGTTATATTTTTCAGACATTTTAGTAACTGAATAGTGTTGGATTGATTTTACTTTTTATCTGTATTTAACTGATAGAGTTAATCTACTATACTTGTTTAAAATAATTTTAATGATCTATGTACTTGTCAAAACTGTACTATTTTTGTATTTTATTTGTTTTCATTGGTTTTAATTATTCACTGGACAGACTGTCCTACATAGAACTATTGATGCAGTTTATAAATTCAATAAATAAATAAATTCTGGGGTTCCATGTTTTCTCAATAGATGTGCCATTTCTGGCATGTACCTAATTTGTATTTGTTACTGGAATGTGCTTGCTGGTTGACAGATTATCATTTTTTCCTCTAGTAGCACTTGTAACAAACCTTCTTAATGTATGATGAAATAAGAGATTTTGCAGATTATACCATTTGTGTAACAAAATAAACATCCTAAAATTTGTGGTAGGTAATTATTAAAATGTTTTCTTGATGCTAGAAAAAATGTTTTTAAGGATAGTATTAAGAATGAATAGTATAGTAACTGTGGTGCAAAAACAGCAATTGTAGCACCAACCCATTGCATTAATTTGTGGGTGCTGCCACATAGAGAGGTTCTAGTATCACAGTTCAAAAGAAGTACAACTATTCCATCTTTTGCTTCCCTAACAGACTTTTTTTTGTAAGAGAAAAGTTGAACAAAGCAGTGGAAAAATATGGAAGGGTTACAAAGTGAAAACATCATCTGGACCCCTTATGAAATTCTGTGAATTATGCAGAACAATGCACAATAAAGGTTTTATCTAAAGGCACCCTGTATCTCTTCTGAGAAGTACATTTGATCCAGTTTCCTTTTATCTTCATCATAACTGTCAGCAGTCATCTGGAGGAGTCCTCAGAATGTTAAACTGACCATTTTTGCAACTGAACCTTAACTTACTTTCTGCTTACATCTATTTATAACGGAAATATAAATCTCCCTGTAAGGTAAGTTCAAAATTGGACATTTAATTTTATTTCATTTTATAGTCTACCTTTACAGCATTTATGTTCACACATAGCATAATCAGCATAAGAAAGCCTCAAAAACACTTTTTATTGTTACATATGAAATTTTCCAAAGAACAAAGAAAAAGTATGCCCTCAGTCCACACAAATTGGTATTACAGTACACTGTCCATGCCATCACATGAAATATATTGCAATATCTAGCAGTTTTAACTACAAGTTCAGCATTTCATATGGAGGGAGTGGGAATCAAACATTGCAAATATATCTATCTATATACACACCTACATATAAACATACAGAGAGAGAGAGAGAGAGAGAGAGAGAGAGAGAGAGAGAGAGAGAGAGATTTCCTCAAGCCTTTTCCACTCTTTAGCAGGATATTGAAACAATGAATAGTTAATAAGTCATTGCATCTGCATAACCAAGGTTGAGAAATCTTCCCTTGGAGAATATGTAGCTCATGGATTATTTACCTAATTGTTATGATGGAAATTTTTTTATTTCTCTGTAATTTCCCCAGTAAGAGAACTTCCTGTGGTGATTATATATTACAAACATTGGTTTTTACTTGCATACTTGCATGTCCTTCTCACAGAATACAAATACAGAACATATTTACACCCCAAGGCTAAAGTAAATAACTACATAAATTATATGAACATAGGAAGAGCCATGCTGGACCAAACCAAGAGTCATCTAGTCCAGCATTTGTTCACACAGTGACCAACCAGCTATCTACAGGATCCCAGAAGTGGAACAGCACCCTTCAACCCAAGTTCCAGAACAATTAGTGTATATAAGAAAACAAGCACACCTTGTTTTATTGTGCTTCACTTTATTGAACTTTGCAGATATTGCATTTTTGTACAGATTGAAGGTTTGTGGCAACCCTTCATCAAGCAAGTCTATCAGCACCATTTTTCTAACAGCATTTGCTCACTTCGAGTCTCTTTGTCGCAATTCTTGTAACATTCAAACTTTTTCATTACTATTATATTTGTTATGGTGATCTGTGATCAGTGTTCTTTGATGTTACCATTGTAATAGTTTTGGGGCACCATGAACTGCACCCATATAAGATGGTGTACTTAATCAATAAATGTGTGTGTGTGTTCTGCTTCACCAACTGGCCATTCTCTCTCTCTCTTCTAGGGCCTCCCTATTCCTTGAGATACAACAATAATTAAATTAAGCTAATTAATAACTCTACAATGGTCTCTAAGTGTTCAAATAAGTGGAGGAGTCACATGTCTCTCACTTCAAATCAAAAGCTAGAAACGATTAAGTTTAGTGAGGAAGACATATCAGCTTAGTAGAGGAAGTAACTGCAGATGTGGTGAAAATAGCAAGAGAACTAGAACTTGAAATGAGCTCTAAAAATATGACTGTATTTCTACAGTCTCGTGATAAAATGAATGAGGAGCTGCTTCTTATGGATGAGCAAAGAAAGTGATTTCTTGAGATGGAATCTATTGGAAAAGATGCTGTGAAGATTGTTGAAATTACAACAAAGGATTTGGAATATTACTGATATAGCTGATATATATCAATATATATATAGCAATACAGCTGATAAAGCAGTGGTAGGGTTTGAGAGGACTGACGCCAATTCTGAAAGAATTGTGGGCAAAATGCTATAAAACAGCATCACATGCTATAGAGATATCCTTTGTGAAAGGAAAACTCAATAAATGCAGCTAACTTCATTGGTGTCTTAGTTTAAGAAATTGTCATAGCCACCCCAGCCTTCAGCAACCATCACCCTGATCAGGCAGTAGCCATCAACATCAAGGCAAGACCCTCCACCAGCAAAAAGATTGTGACATGCTGAAGGCTCAGATGACGGTTAGCATGGATTAGCAAAAAAGTGTTTTTATATATGTACATTTTTAGACATAATGCTATTGAACAGTTAATAGACTATGATATAATGTAAACATTAGGAACTTAATATATAATTCTATCCCATATTTATGCCTACAGAGTGACAGAGCATTACTTTCCAATTCTTCTCACTGATAGAACCCAACACCATGCAACCACTATGTTTATACAAGGGGAAAAATTGGATGGAATACATGCTACACTTGCTTAGGGATTAGACTTATCCCCTGGCTCTCCAAATAGCTTAAAATTTTGCCAGATTGGTGAATTGCTCATGGTGTTAAAATGAATATAGTATGATTTGTTTACCAACGTATCTAACTTTTCTGTGGTTCTGCTTCAAACTTTTTCAGTATAAAAACACTTTTCAGAAGAAATAGTCACCTGTCTCCTGAATGAGGAGCTGCTGTATCCCTGTGAGTGTTCACTACCTACATTACTCCATGTTTTAAGAATTATGACAGCACATGTGAATGTTTTGATGATAGTGTGCATTGCACAACGCAATCACTTTGCACGAACAAAAAATATCTAAAAGTTAGGAAGAACAAACACAATACAAAACAGATAAACAATCTTTGCTTCTCAAAATGTCCTGGAATGGCAATTATCCCCTTGTGTGATGCTCACAAAATCCTTTGGATAGCCTTTCTACACTAAAATTTATATAGGTATTATGCTAGTTTGTCATTGAAGCCCCTAAAGAATCCTGGAAATCGGTGCTGTGGTGAGAATTCTGGGACCCCAGCCCCAAAACTAACTGAGGGGCAGTTCCCAGAATTCCCTAAGCAGTAAAAATGAGTATTAAATAGAAATCTGTATAAATGACTTCTCAGCATTCTCCACTCTATTTGTGGGCAGAGAAATTAAGTAAGAATTTCACCAAATTCCTCTAGAAGGAAGAAAAATTCTCTAGCAGCTGTTCACACACAGACATTGTAACAAAATTTCTTTTTTGTTCTTTGCTTGATTTTTTTTTTTTTTTTTTTTGCACTGCCACTGCAAGTTGCAACTGCAACTATGTTAGCAGCATAGCTCCAATCAACATTTTCCACAGTGCAGGTGTGAAGACAGTAATGTGTCTATTCCAGGGAGCAGTGGAAATAGTGCTGTACCAAACTCTGACCTCCAATTTCCTGAACGCTTTCTTCTTCCATGAAAGAGGCTTCTTTATCTCTGCCTCATTTTCAGAGTTTAATTTCTACTGGTTGTGTTTTTGAACGTATTGAGTCACTGAGAAATAATGCAACAGTGAAGTGCATGTGTTTTATCTGTTATGTATTTCTCCACTGCACTGCAGCCTCCCAGACTGCCTGGATTTCCTGATCTGAAAAAGCCTTGTGGGAAAAATTACCTCATGACATCTTCTTCTGGGCCTTCACTGAAGTACTTCTGGGCTTTCACTGAAATCCAGGGAGACTGCAGGTGCCAGAAGTATGACTGGACAATGAAAAACAGGACCCACACACAAACTCTTCAACCACCTCATAAGGTAAACACAAAACCCCTTAAGCAATGCCATGAGACTTTCTCCAAAATCTTCTTGGAATTTCTTTCTGAAAGCATTTCTAAAACAACCTAAATGAGAATAGTCAAAAAGTAAGGAATTTTGCAGCACAAAATTATTATTAAAGCCAATCTGGAAACATCCTATTAGAGGCTGTGTCTTTTTATCTCAGACCACCTTGACTTTTTGTTCTGTTTTGCTACATTACTTTTTTTGGACAGTTGTTCAGTATTAAAACTGTTTGGCATAATGTTTGCTACATTTATATACATTGATCTATATCAATGAACAATTGATAGTTTTGGTTTTTGCCTCTTTTGTGAAGAGAAACTTGTTGGGACTTGAGTGTTGAAAAGTGTGAGATGTACTTAGAGAAACGGGATTTCCAGATCTCTTCGGGGAGCAAAAAAGCATTCTAGGATCTCTTGGGCAGAGTGCTATGCGTAGATGAAGAGCTCTTGAGTGAATTTCCTCTGAGGATATTTTGTTGTTGCTACTCCTGTTTGAGCAGCTTTTCAGTGTTTTCCTTAAACAATCCAAGCCCTTCATTTTAAAAACAGAATAAGGATATAAATAAAATCAAAGAATGTGATGGCTAATACTTCATAAGTCGTTTGTGAGGTATTATTTACAGGATTATGTACTGCTCTATACCTAAGGGGATTTCTGAGCAGTGAATAAAAATGAGAGAGGCTTCAAAAGCAGAAATTCTCTGTATGTACCCCATTTCTTCCCTCCCTAGGTATTATGTATACTGTATAAATTACCTTGTGGGATATTTTATGAAGTCAAAACAATTAGTAGGGGAAAGCATGAGGAAAATAGTTGATTATTAAATGGACTTGCTGAGATAGGGGAAGGAAATAGGATGAGGAAATTGTGTGTGATAGATTAAAGCGACCCTGGAGGTATGCGAAGAGATCACGAGGGTGGACGTGAAAGCTGGAATTTTTCTGTAAGATGAATGATTACTTTGCTCTGCCAGCCGACTACTGCCTTTCATTTTTCCTGAGGTACTTTGCCTCGCGGAGGGGGGGGGCAGGGGGCGCTTGAAGGGCTGGCGCGGGTCCCCGTCAAAGCCTGCGGGGGCTCGCGCCGCCCATCGCGCGAGGCCAACTGAAAGCACGCGCGGGGCGAGCTCGGAGGGCTCGTTGGGAAGGCGCATGAGGCGCAGCAGTCCGTGCGTCGCCGCCCTCCCGTCCGCCCGCGAGGCCACGCGAGGAAGCTCCGCCCCGCCGGCTGGGCGCGAGGGCAGCTCGGCGTTTCCGCGCAGCCCCGCGAAGAAGGGCGCGCCCTCGTGTCACGCGCCTAGCCAGGGGCGGTGCGAGGCCCCGAAAAACTTTGGGGCTCAGCCTCACAGGGCGAAAGCAGACTTTATGCATATGTTGATTGCGTTCGCTTTAAAGTCTTGGTGCGTATGTGTCTTTAAAGGAACCTGTCTCCTAAGGCCACTCCTTTCTGTAAAAAGGAATGGACAGGGGAGAGGAGGGCATTTGATCTCAGGGGAAAAAATCCCTCAGATGGAAAGAATCCAAGGTGGAGGAAATAGGAGGAAAAGCATCTATGAACAAAATGGCAACTGTTGTGGGTGGAGGGGCTGAAGCAACAGAGGTCATCTGGACCGTGTCCTGTTCTTTCAGCAAGTTCCCAGTATGGTGGTGGAGCAGATGGATTCCCATAGTTTATTTATTTATTTATTAAAACATTTTTATGCTGCCCCATTCGCTGAAGCCTCGGGGCGGCTTACAATTTTGGGGGAAATGTACAAATCAATAGGTATAACTTATACAGGTATAATCAGGCAATCATTGACACTAACTAGGCCAGAGAAAAACCCTATTTTCTCGAAATCAGCATGTGTGCATCCTTGAAATGTTGCTGACACTGACCAGACACCATTCCAGAGAAAGCCACTTGGCACTGGACAGAAAACAGCAGTGCAAACAAACGGCAATTCACACCAACCCACCTCCTCTTCTATACAATAGCACCCCATTCTCCCCACTTCTTCAGAGCTTCTACTTTGGTATGCAAATGGGAAAGATCATGCCAACCTTTTGCGCTGTAACCTATTGACACCTAACACAGTGTTGACTGTGTTATGTGTAACCATCAATGGGCCATCTGAGGACTGCTCAGGTGGGCCATCTGGAACAATTCATTGGCAGCCAGTTATTCTCAAGAATAAATATTTTAAACGAAATCCTTCCCCTATTGTGTATTTTGGGCATACACACACCAGGACACAGACCATTTGATCAACACTTTCAGCAAGTGTCCAGTATGGTTGTGAAGCTGATGAATTCCCATAGTTTTGGGACTTCAGACCCAGTCAGGTACACTGTTAACACCTCTGCCTGTAAACTTAACATGTAATGTCTATTCTCCATGCATCATGGAGTTCACTGAGTGACTTTGGGCTAGTCACACTCTCAGCCTAGCCTACTTCACAGGGCTGTTGTGAGGAGAAAATGGAGTTGAGGACTATGCAGACTGCCTTGGGTGCCCCACAAGAAACAAAAAGGTGTGGTATAATGCAATATAATAATGTCCTTATCCTTTAATGGGAAAGTACTCACACATACTCTTGTACAGAGAAAAAGACTACAGCTTAGGTCACAGTAAATCTGTACCACAAAACGCTTTGTTATTTTATTTATTATATTTATATCCCACCTTTCTCCTGTTGTGAAACTCAAGGTGGTTACATGTGGTTCCTAGACTCAAACCAGCCCCATATCTGCTTAGCTTCAACATGGTAAATGCCTTATAGGGCTTCAGACCATACCTTGGGCAACACAGACCATCCTTTTGCTATAACACACCAAAATGTGTACTTCTCTGAAAGAGCTGTCTTTTTTCAGGAGTGTCACAAGGTTGGTTGTCAGGGGGCCCTATGCTTTTAACAGTCTCTCAAGCAGAAATTTAACGTGTGAGGCATTTCACATATGTTGGGATGGAGAAGCTCTACTTACACATTTTGTAGTATGTATCAAGTTTTATGAGTCCTGCTAAACAAACAAAAGGTGGCAACTGGAAAGGAGAACATTTCCCTCAATCTGAAAGACAGACTACTTAACTGTAACTGTTCACACTGTGGGAAGATAGATTCTTTAGCACAAGGTCCCAGGGCAGAAAGCCCATCTAACAAACAAACAAACACACACACACCAGCCATGTAAAGAGGGCTAGGGAGAGACATGTTAGTTTGCTAAATGTTACCTGGGATAAACTTTGTAAGAAAAATATTTATTTAAAATATTTATACCTCGCCTTATATGCAAAGCGCCTCAGAACAGCTTACAGAAATCAAAACAAACAATCCATAATCAAAAGCAACAATTAACAATAATTAAGAATATACATAAAACACAATAACATATCACCAGTGAAAACAAAATCAAAACCGAATCAAGATCAAAAACAAAATGTGACTGTAGATAGTTAAAACCAGATTAAAATTCCTAATTCTTAAAATGGTGGGCAAATAAAAGGGTTTTCACCTGGCGCCGATAAGAGTATAAAGTCAGCAGCAGATGCATCTCTCTAGGGAATGCATTCCATAGTCTGTGTGCCACCACAGAAAAGGCCCTCCCCTGGTTAGAGACCATCTTTACTTCTTTCAGGGAGGGTTCCCGGAGCAGAGCCTTAAAGGGCTCATATGGAAGGAGAAGATATTGGGTCCCAGAAGAGAGTCTTAAAGGCTGTTATTGGATAGTGTGTGTGTATAACCCTCTGTACTCCTGCCTTACTGCAACATATGCCTTTCTGTCATAAAAATCATATGAGGAAGCCCTATTTTCCAATAGGAAAAGTTCACATAGCCCTTTAATAACATTACCAAAGGAGTGAAAGATACCAGTGTATCTCCATGTTCAAGCCTTCCTCATCCAGGTATGCTAAAGATGTGGCAGACTGCAACTCACATCCTTTACACATACTGTGCTCAGAATGATGAGAGTTATAGTGCAACAGCGAGAGCACCAAGTTGGAGAAGGTTGCATTGTATCATACAGAGCCATTTTACTAACCATTTGCTTTTTAATTTTATCTTTTAGCTCCGTAAAGGCTGTGTACCACTTCTGTGCTTGCAATGGTGAACTACATATCACCTCCATTCAATGAAAAGGTAAGAATAGGACTGTGCATCAAAACTTACTCTGCATCAAAACTAACTTTGTAGAGGATTGTCTGTCTTGTTTAAAAGAAACAAAATTATTGAGTAGCTTTTGGCTGGTTTGTTCTTTAAGCCTTCTGGGACAGTCAAACTGGGAAGGATGAGCAAAAGACAAAGAGCTAAACTACATTCTGTATTACGAGAATGTAATACATTACATTACATATAATGTAATTATAAGTTGTAAGCCGCCCCGAGGCTTCGGCAAGGGGCGGCATAGAAATGTAATAATAATAATAATAATAATAATAATAATAATAATAATAATAATGTATTACATTACATATGCTCATAAATATGTAGCATGTACCTGAGCCTAACTTTAAAAAAATGCTTAACATTTGGGACCATGATCTGATGCTAATGGACTTTTTTCTTTCTTAGTTTCTGTGTTGGGGAGGAGATGAATTTAGGATGGGGGAGAAATCACCTTGGTAGGAAGTTTTATTTTTCTTTACCCATGCATGGTTTTCCCATGGACCTGCATACTTACACAGACATTAAAAAGTAGGATCAGCTGTACATTATGCATTTGACATGGCCTATGAAATTGGGCAATTGGAGATGTATTAATAGCCTACTCCTCAACTTCTGCTGTATGGCAGAAAGTTAATTTTGGTTGGGAGCAACTTGGTATCTTCAGACAAGCCACTGGATGGTTCCAAATAGATGTTTTATAGCACCACAGTCCATGGACTTTATGAGAGATCCAGACAGCACTGACACAGTGAAGGTGCTTCTGGATGGAGGGCTGCTACAGCTACAAATGAGAAATGTGCATGTATTCATGTGGTTTTCTATGGTAAAGAAAAGATTGGTGAGAGGACTGCAAGTGGAGGATGTCAGTATCTGGACCTCTGTATAATACCATGAATGAGGAAGAACAATGGCATGACTGAGAGCCAGTGTGGCGTAGTGGTCAAGAGCATGGGACTCAGGCGATCTGGGTTCTAGTCCCCGCTCAGCCATGGAGCCAACTGGGTGACTTTGGGCCAGTCACAGACTCTCAGCCCAACCTCTACCTCACAGGGTTGTTGCTGTGGGGATAAGATAGAGGAGGAGATGTAAGCTGCCTTGAGCCCTTTGCAGGAAAAAGGCAGGATATAAATCGAAAAAGAAAGAAAGAAAGAAAGAAAGAAAGAAAGAAAGAAAGAAAGAAAGAAAGAAGGAAAGAAGGAAAGAAGGAAAGAAAATGATTGTAACCCACCCTGAGAACCATTCTGGCTAAGGGGACAAGATAGAAATCCAGTAAATAACATTTTAAAATAAATGATAAAAACTGCATCTGGAAGCCTGCCAAGGCTTGTTTTAACAGATCCAGGTCAGAGCAACATTTGAGGGTTATATATTCCATTTCTCTGCAATAGCAGTCCAAACACCCATCCCTCAGTACTGCATAAATTTGCACCGGGTACAAAACATAGTTTTGGAATTTTGTCCACTTTGAAACCACTGTGATTACCCTTCAACCCTCAGAAGGCAGCTACAGCCCATTTTTTATGGCAGTTGGGAGAAATGTCTGTTGAAATTAATGTCCATATTAACAAACACATGAGAAAATATATCACACTACAAACATTTCTCTTTATCTTTTAACAGACAAGCCTGAGAAATGAATATGAATTTATCAAGCATCAAAGATATGTTTAGCACTCCCACAAAAATGGGGTAAGTTTCTAATTGATGCTATTTATGTATCATTGCTGTATTATAACTTATCATCATCAGTGTAATATAATTCAGATCTTGATGTCTGATTCTGATTTGGAGGCCAACTATATAGTTTGTTCAATTTGCAACTCACAAGTGATTATCATGATGATAGTTAAGGGAATTAACACATGCAAAGGGCAATGCATCTGCAGTACATTCTGTTATCCAAACCATGGTTTGACTGTGGTTTCTCAAAAGAGACTTTGAGAAAATACACACATACAGATTGGCTCAAATATGAGCAAGTAACTGCTCACTTGAGTGGTTCACCCATGTGAGCAATGAAATGGCAGAAAAAAATAAGAATGTCAGAACAGGTCTGTCTAATCCAGCATCCTGTTTCTTACAAAAACCAGCTAGATATCTTAGGAAGGTTACAAGCAGGGCATGGATGCAGCCCCTATCTCTTGTCTCCTGCCCCTGGTATTTAAAGTTTGCTGCTATTATATTTGGAGGTTCCATGTAGGTGTTTGCCATAGAGGGATAATGTGGAGGGATAGTGGAGGGATAGCGCATATCTGTGGCATGTTGGGAATGAGGCTCAGGGATGCTCTTGCTGTGCCTTTTATGAACATAGTTCTCTAGGAGCCCACTGCTCAGAGCAACTATTTGTGCATGTCAGAGCCATTTCATAATGTGCAAATTAGCTTTCAGTTATCAGGATGGCGTACTGTCCTTGCTTTTAGTGTAAGAAGTAGATGCTGACCCATTGAATTTAGATTTTTAAAATGTTCATTAGCCTATTTGAGAATTTACAAACAAAGGATGCATGTTTGCATTTACAAACATGATAATGGAGGTCATAGCCCAAGACCTTGTGTGAAAAAGGAGCCACTACTAGAAGCATGACTGCATTTATTGGGTTGATAGGACTAGCAGTTATAGTGATGTGTAAATACATTCCCTGAATTCAAAGTGGCATATAATTTGCAATTATATGCAAATCTTCCCAAAAATGTCTGACCTTATATCAGGTTACAAGAACACAGATCTGATAGTATATTTCAATTTTACCAGAAGGGGAATATTGGAATGCACATAAGATACAGTTTGACTGCCAGATCAAATTATTGGAGGCTTTTTAAGCATTTTATCTCTGATTTCCCTTGTGCTGGTTACACTTTATAGCTTATTACATGAAAAGCCCTCTCTAGTATTGAGGAAGACACAGCTGAAATGAATCACGATACTCAGAATATTATTTACTTATTATGCAACTGTGTAGCATACTTTACTGCACTTACACACTGGAGTATGAGTTTTTTATTAGAAGTTAGAGAAGGGTAGCTTCTGTATTCAGGCCGTAACAAAATAATGTTTTTTCCTGTTTTCAACATCCATAGAAAGCATGGACACAATACAGTGGTACCTTCGCTCACGAACTTAATCCATTCCAGGACTCTAGTCATGACCCAAATTAGTTGTGAGCCAAGTCAAATTTTCCCATAAGGGTCAATGTAAATAAAGTTAATCTGTTCTGCAACTATTTTTTTCACTCACAAAAATTTGAAGCAAAATGACAAAGAACAACAAAGATCGCAGCCATCTCCCCCCGCCCCCCAGCAATTGTGTGAGGGAGTAGGGGAAGATGGGTGCGATCGCAGGCGCGCAAGGGTGGAGGCAGGTGCGGGTGTGTGGAGGGAGGTGGGTGCAGGTGTGTTGTGGGGAGGCGGGTACACTGGGAGGGAGGCAGGCGCGGGCATGCTCAGGCAGGGAACACAGTGGCAATCGCGGCCATCTCCCCCACCAGCATGAATGCGGCTATCCCCACCACCACCACCACAGCACGACCGCGATTGCACCCATGCAGGGAAGGTGGGCATGCTTGTGATCGTCACCCGATGCAGAGTTCATTACCTGCAGCAAAATTTTTATGAAATTTCTGTTCACTACCTGTTTGGTCGTAAACTTAGGTGTTCATGAGCCGAGGTACCACTGTAATTTATAAATAGGAGGGAAAGTGTTAGAAGGAGAACCAAAGTAGTTTTACAAATAGTAATTGTTAATTGTTTAATAGTTAGCTATTGATTGTTAAGTGATGCATTTTTAAATTATTATTCTTGTTGTTATATACTTTGCTGGGTTGCTGTTTATTTTCTTACTTAGTTGCCTGTGTTTATGTTTTTTTTTTATTTATTTCTTGTTCTTGTTGGTTGATTCAGGTGCTGAACTGTGGAAATATATTGAAATGTATTATCATTGCTTTACTATTTTGCCATTATATTGTATTATTTAAAATGTTGTAAAACTTTATGAGAGCTAGTTTGGCTTTGAAGATGGAATATAAAAACTTGTTAAAACAAACAAACAAACAAACAAACTCTAATGCAGCTAAATGAAGATTTTTGCTCATTGAGCATATGCCATCTAAATTGTTGAAACTATCATGCAAATCTTCAATGCAGCCACTAAATCCTTTGCCACTATGACTTGCTGTGATGGTGGATGAGGAAAAACATTAAGACAAGAAGTTAATAACAGTGCTGATTAAGAAAATATACTTACCCCAGGCAAGTGAAGTAATAGAAGTTCGTATAGTAGAAGGTGAGAACAAGGTTAACATGGATAATAGTATGATTAATTTTTTTCTGGCATGATTTATCCTTTCAATAAAGACATGCTGTTTAATTGTGTTATCATCTGGGAGTTTTTCATTTTTTTTGTTTTGTTTTGTTTTCTTTTGTTTGTACAAGACTCAGGAGTTAAACTTACTAGATTTATATCTGCATCTGTTGTGTCAGTAATGTTGTCTCCCAGTTGATGAATAGTACAGTAAGATAGGAAAACTCACAGGAGGCCAACAAAGAAGATGATGTCACAGTGAGGGAGCTCATCATTTCTGAAGATATAATTTAGGACAGAATTCCCTAACTTGTTGTACTCCATGTGTATTGGATTATAAGGCCCATCACCTATAGCTCTCTGCAACTGGTAGTTGAACACATCTGAATGATGCCAGATTGTAGAAGGTAGATCAAGATTAGATTCACTAAGAATGTCAAGTGCGCTTTTCTATTCCAGCCATGCAGGTTTTTTAAGGAAAATCTGCTAACACTGAGGGTCTTTAGTGTACTAATAAAAGGCCTAGATAATGGGTGCATACTGTATTGACTTCATGCCAGCTCACTTGTTTTTGGTATGTTGGTGTGCTGATGACCACTTTTTTAGTAGGCTGTAGCAGGTGGCTTGGCACTTCTGGATTGTTTCAATAAACTGCAGTCATTCATTGTATATATTCCATTTCAGGACTGAGTAAAAGTCATTGCCTGTGATAGATGATGGAAAAATTGAAACTTCTAGCAGAGATCATAGAATCACTGAATCATAGAATAGCAGAGTTGGAAGAGGCTGTTGCAGGACACCAGTTTACACCTGCCCACTGAAATGATGGTCCAGTTTCTTTTTGAATGGCCTTAGTGTGGGTGAGCCCATGACCTCTCTGACAGTTAGGAAACCTTTCCTGGTATCTAGCCTCAATCTGGATTGTCGCAACTTGAGTTGATTATTCTGTATACACTCTGGTACAAACAAGAAAAGATCTTGATGTTCCTCTTAGTGATAGCCTTTGAGGTACTTATAGAGGGGTATCATGTCTTCCCTCAGTCTTCTCTTCCCCAGTTCTCCCCTGAGCCCTTTCCAGTTCTGCATCCTTTTAAAATTTTGGTGCCCAGAACTGGATGCAGGATTCTAGATGAGGTCTGATGCTAGTGTCCAAGCTGCAAATAGCGCTAGGGTGGAGCTGGGAATGGGAAAGTCCCCCACTGAGGCAGCTTACTTTCTTCACCTTCCTCCATACCTAGACTTCAAAGTTAAAGCCTGTCTTAGCTTTTCTATTGTCCCTGGATCAAAATCTCAATGAAAGAGAATGGCTGAACCTGCCATGTTCCTTTAAAAATGATCTATGGATCTGTGGTGCTCTGTTCTCAGGATAACACATAGTTTGTAGGCATGTTGTAAAACTTAAATAACGTTAGAACATAAGAATATCCTTGATGGATCAGACTAAAGAAGCATCTAGTTCAATTTTAGGCTGGCTATCATAAATAGCAAGTGTCATAATTGGTGATAACTTACCATGTTTTCCCCTACAGATGATCACAAACCCTGTCTAGTTCTCACATTTTCTGTCATTCTATTTCATTTAAATAATGTTTTTAAAAAACATTCTGGGGACTGAAATGGCTAGGAAATGTTACAGAGATGTACTTGCACTCAGGAGGGGTAAGAGGGAAAACCTGCCTCAAAACCTTAGTGAGAAAAAGCCAACTTTGGTCCATAGGGACCATACAGAGCAGAAGGGTATTTAACTCATGGGGGCTGCTGGGATGCATGGTGGGAATGGGAGAAAAGAGAGAGGAGCACAGAAACCATGTTGCCATGGGAACAATGTAACCATCTGACCAGTAGATCTAGCCAGGAATCTGCACAAGGTGGAAACAGCACAATGTTGCTTGCTGTGCCATAAGACTCTGCCCTGTATAACGTTTATAGACTGTCTTTTATTGGAAGGATTTCTAGAGGATTGTCCTTTATCTGAAGATATCCTCCGCTTGAAGGCTGCCCTGTCCAGTTCTACTTTAAAAATAAATAAACTTTAAAAATGAGAACTGTTGACCATCGGAAGCTAGCACTTGAACAGGCAACTGAATAGGCACTTGGTGACAGACTTCCACATTATGGTGAAAGGTCATGAAAGCTTCTTCCTGCTCACATTCCTCAGCAAATGGTATTATTTCTCTAGTAATGGAGGGTTTCAAGACAGCAAGGGATTAGATGCTCTTCTCTGCCTCACTGCAACATTTCCATACTCCTGCTACTGTGCTGGGCATTATCAGGCCCTACAGAGGCCTATCTAAAACTACTGTTCATGTTAGTTAGAAGATCCAGAAGTAGAGACCTGCTGGTTCAACCAAACACCTATCTAGTTCAGTATTATTTTTCACTGGGGACAACCATGTTTTTTCTCAGAATCTCACCAAGCAGGACATGAGAACAGTAACCCTCTATGAATCTTTGAATCCTATTTTTATTTCTTAGCAACTGGTGTTCAGAGGAACATTCCTTGTGAACTTGCTGATAGAAACTATAACCAGTGGTTACCTTACACTCCTTGAATTTGTCTAATCTCCTTTTAAAGCCATGTAGATTAATGACAGTTACTGTATCTTGGGGCAAGAACTTTCCCAATTTAGCTTTGTACTCCTAGAAAACTGAACTTACAAAACTAAGGTGGTCTCTTATGAAAGTTTTATTATTATAGTTCCAGTGCTGACAACATGGATGAGGGTGGAAGAGGAATTATTCATTTGTATATGTGAAATGAATTCAAATTAAGAATTGCTCTGCCCCTTTGACTAACAGTTGGCAAGAATTAAAGAACAAAGAAATCTGGGAAGCAAGTGACAGGGCGAACATCTAAGAGGACACTTGGTCTTACTTTGTTTTGAAAACTTATTAATGTAAATTAATTTAAATGTGGCCATGTGTTTGAAGGCTGAGTATCATCCTCATTCATTAGGTAGTAGACTTCCTAACCAGTGCATTTCTTAGCAATTAATATGGTTTGAAGCATTCAATGGGAGACTTCCCCATCAGGGAAATGGAATGGGCAGACAGTTCAGGATGTGATTTTGCCTACAGGTGCCAGCAGTTTAGGCTTCATTCCTATGGAGTGGGCACAGTATGGCCAATGCAGCTATATAATTTTATTTGAAGGTGGTTGGTTTTGTTTTGTTTTTTTGTATAAAGCTAAGGTCTCTTCCAATTTGTGTGAAGCCAGATACATTCACTAGTTATTAATGTAGGGCAGATGAAAGTGCATAGCTATAGATGATATCTAATCCCTTTTCAGATATATCTGCAAAGCATAGCAGTTTGTTTGCATCTGGCACACAGCTGATTTCAAGCTTGGATATTATTATATTTCAAACAACATTTGCATATTTATTGCATTTCTACAGTCTTATGCTTTCTGCAGTGTCAGTACTTCTGTTCCAAGAGGGCTGGCATCTTATAAATAGCAAAAATAAAAAGAAAAAGTACTATTTTTTGGATTAGGACTGATGACATCAAATAAGCATGTCAGTATTTAGCTTACAACAGAAAAGCATTATCAGAAAAAAAAAAAATGAGCTGGCACATAACAGAGATCAAAATTCAGAATGTTCCCTAATCCAGGGGATAGTTAAGGATTCAGATATAAGGGAAATAACATACTTCCGAAACCTGAAGCATGACATGTGTGACATTGTCAAACACAAGCTTTCATGGCTTTAAGAACCCAGGCATTCTGCCATTTTCCTTAAAGAATTTCTGAAGAATTTGAAAAAGATGCAGAGAAAACAGTTCTACATCAGCCTAGGCTCTGCTAGTTAATTGGGTCAAGACATAACTATATAGTTTAGTTCATTCCTGCCCCTGTGAAGATAAATAGTACTGCTGGTATTAGCTCAAACTGAAATTGTAAAATGTGAATAATAATAATGTGATGAGGCTGTGGGCTATATGCAGGGATGAGTGGGGTTTAAAAAAATCTCTCAACAAGAAAGCTCAGATTCTGTAACCTGTTGTGAGAAATGAAATGTTACTGTTCTAAGTGTTAAGGTGAAAACCAAAGAAAGGGTGAAATGCAGGGCTAGGACAGGATCACTGAAGTCTCTTAAGGCCAAAGGCCTGAGAATAGAATCATGTAAATAGTTGTACTAAGAGTAATAGTGTTTCTTACATCAAAGTCCTGAAAATTGCCAGAGAAGGTAAGAGTGGGAGACAGTGGTAAAACTGTCACCTTCAGTGGAAGAGAGTAGGAAATTGATTGCCTTTTACAGCTGGCCGTAATAAGCCTGGAGGAAGGCCTGTGCTTCCTCTCTCATCCTCCCACAAGATTTAGGAAACAAGGTGGCATCAAGTGAGAGGCTCCAAGGCCAAGCTGTCCTGTTGCACTTTTAGAAGGAACTGCGCACGCTTAATAGACGCATGAATAGTAACTGACGTACCTCTCATAGGTAATGGGCTCATTAGCATGAACATGGGATGTATGTGCGGGAGGGGGAGCATATCAAGGGGTCGTATGATGTAGGCGGATGGAGAAGATTGTACCTTCTGAGTAGCCCAGCCAATGGGGGAAAAGAGGAAGGGTCTGTGAGCCGGGAAAAGGGAATAAAAAGCAATGTTTCATGTGTAAACAGCGCACTACCTGTGTGGTGGGTGCCCACTCTTGCAAGAACGAATTAAACTGTACCGCTTGGTACTTTGCCTCCGTATCGTCACTACTGGGATTTACTCCTGACACTGTATGCAAATCAAATTATATTTTTATAATTTATTCTGCCTCTGCTACTCAAAGGAAATCCCCTGGCCACTGTAAATCTTGTTGAAATATCCTGCTTCGTCTAATATATTATAAATTATGACCCCCCTTTTTTTACAAATATAGTAGCTTTATTTAAAAAAAATGAAATTAAGATTATCAGGATGCTGGATTCAGTGACCATTCCCCAATTCTGCTGTTATTTTTACTTATGGAATAGTAACGGAAGATGAGTGACAACTAGTTGCAACTTCTCTAAATACAGATGCTCATTTTCCTCATATCATTTTCAACCGACAGCTTCCATTTGTTGGAAAAGAACAATCAAGCATGTTGCTGGTTTTATATGGTCATATGTGTGTGTGTCTCCTGAGAATAATGTAATAGGTTTTATTTTTTTATGTTATTTAGAAGTAAATCCTATATCTTTAAACAATCAGATCTTTAGTGAACCTCAAAATTGCTAAGCATTTAATACTGTTCTATTGTGGCAGTGATTTCCAAAGTTGGAAACTGCCCCTTGGGGACAATGGAAAGATCCAGATGGACAGTGATTGGTTGTTTCACACTTGCGGTATTTGTATAGACCTAATACAAAAAAGAGGCTTGAGGACACTATGGTTGTCACTCAAGAGGAAAGGGAAGAACAGCCCAAAAAAGTTTGGGGACCACTATATTATGGGGTTTGAGCAATTTCAAGAATCATGAAAAGGTAAGACTTTTGGTTTGTCTCATATGTGTGTGTGTGTGTGTGTGTATTTGTAATTATGATTTTATTAATTGCATTTGCTTAAGATGTCTCCCATTTCTGCTTTCCTGTTTCAGGCCTAATAAACCATCCAGCTGGACCAGTGTTCCTAGTGATTGCAATAGTCTGAGTGACTCTCAATTTCTTTTTGGTTCCCAGTTTTGTCCAGAGAACTCACAGTCAGCATCAGCCCCACTTGAATTTAGTATTCAGCAAAGACAAGGCAAAAGCTCACAGCAAAATTCTCAGGATGTGAGTTGGATGAGTAAAGCCTCTTTGCTGGAGTTATACAACCTTTGGTGAAGCATTAAAAATTAAAAGTAGGACTTATTATTTGATTTTCTCCTTTCAAGAGTTAAATGTGACATTTTTGCCTCACAACAACCCTATGAAACAAGATAGGGTAAGAAATAGTGACTTACCCAAGCGTGCACGGTGAATTTCATGGTTGAGCATGGATTTGAGCCCAAGTTTATTCAGCCACCATAACACATCATGCCTACTCTCAATAGAAGACTATAAGCTCGTTTTGAACCCATACCTCTGTCTTGTTTGTTTGTAAAGCATGTAGAACTTTTGGCATTATGGCATACAATAAACAATGTAAAGAGATTAAAAATATTGTTAAGAAAGTTAGAGTTTTTGATAAAATAAACACAAGGCTGTAGTGTGCGGTTGAACAGACAATAGTTCATCCCTCTTCAGTCCAACTTCCCTTTTAAACTGTTGATCAGGGGGATTTCAGTTCTTCGTCGTGGTCTCTGTGCATCACACATATGGGTGCTGCACCTGTGCAGTGCCACATTTGGGAAGATTCCTCTAACTAAGCCTAGAACTTTGGGTGGGAGCCCTGCCCCCCTTCCCATTAAATAAATATGCAGGCTTCCACCATTTACTCAGCCCAGTTCACTTTCAGCCATCATTTACAGTTCCTCAGATTCTCTAGCTCTTGTGATTACCTCATTTTTTCCTCACAGCTTTACTTCATATTTCTTGTTCTTACTGCTTCTTGTTGATCTTCTCATGCCGTTTTCCTTTCCTCAGTCACTTGTCTCCATTTTTAACCCCCCATTCCCCACCTTCTATTTCTCACGTTAAAAAAAAACCACCCTTCTGTTATGTCTCCCCTCGATATTCTTATAACCTGACTTCTTTTTTTCTCCTGATGACAGTAAAACCAGTGTTTCATAAGTGTGTGCACTGCGGATTTAAAATGCCATCAACTGATGGCCACTCCTTATGCCTCTTCTGCTTGAAGGAGGAACATCATGTGGACAAGTGTTCACACTGCCAGGCCTTCACTAAGCAGGCTCCCCAAAAATAGGCTGGTTGCTTTAAAATGGAGATGTAGGAGCATGTTCTCATCACCATGAAGGATGTTACCTGTGACTAAGGTGAAGGCCCCTCAACTTCAAAAGGGGACAGAAAAAAGTACCCATTGGCCAGTGCTCCAGGCAAGCCAAAGCTAACTTCATCTGCTTCAAAATGATTGGCTGCCTCAGATATGTCTAAGAAGCACAAGGGAAAAAAATCTTTTACACCTTCGGCTATAAAGGGGCTAAGAAGGCTCACGAGTTTAAACATATAAAGAGGGCAGAACACTACCGTCCTATGCATTCCAAGTGTCACAACTCACCAATCCATCCAACTGCTCTGATCACCTCATCCACCTTGGCCACACTACCACCCTTAGCCTCTCCATCCTGTCCCCCAACTACTCCAGCTCGATCGGACTGCAGCAGGGTCCAACCTGAACAGGTGGTACCAAAATCCTTCTCCAAAGGGGAAATTATGACACACCAATTCAGTCTCCCACTGTGCTGACCTCCCCCATTAGATTGGTGCACACTCACCATTAAACGAGTGTTGAACTAATACCTCAGATACCTTGTCCATTCAGTCCTACCTGATCCAACCTGTTATCAATGTCTCTCCACCTGTCCTTTCTCCCTAAAGTTTTTTCCTCATTCCACGCAAATCAAGAAATAGTGCTTCTGGTATTTTACCCATTACCATCTACAGACATTGAAAGGGCCCTGCATACACTTGATGTTCATTGCACACTAGCCTTCTATCGATCCCAAACCTAGTCGGTTCACAAGACAAAATGCCTGTTCATCATATGTGGACCACTCCAAAAGTGACCCAGCTGGTCCCCAGTGCCTTGGACACTGGATCATAGAGGCCATTAAATTAGCGTACCAGCTAGTGAACTTGGACTTGCCTGACAACCCTAGAACTCATTTCACCAGGGCAATATCAACATCAACAGGCCTCCACACAGGACTGCTGTTCAATGCGCTGCGCAGAGCAGCTACATGGTCAACACCATCCATGTTCATCCACTACTGTCTGGCTCTAATGTTAGAACCAGACAGAACTGCTCCCTTGGTTGGGTTGGGTTGTCATCTATACTTCTGTAACAAAACCTTCCACCTCCTTTAATGGTATGCTTGCTAGTCACCCATATGTGTGATGCACAGAAACCACAATGAAGAAAGTCAAGTTGCATACTTCTTCAAGTGTTCATCTGTGCATTCACACAACCTACCTGCCAGCCCCACATTGGTGCTGGTGGATATTTCTCTCGTGTACCTACTATTTACATAGTGATAGGACAGTTAGGGACCCAGACAAAGTGCAAGTGACAGTCTCCAGTTGGACTGAGTAAATGGCGGGAGCCCGCCTATTTATATAACAGGGAAGAGGGGCAGGGCTCCTGCAAAAATTCTAGGCTTAGCTAAAGAAATGTTCCCAAATGTGACACTGCACAGGCACAGCACCCATTTGAGTGAATGCAGATAACCACTCAAAGAATGAAAGTTACAGGTATGCAACCTGACTTTTTAAAAATTATGCAACATAGCTAGGCGTATGCTCTGTTGGAATTGTAGTTTTGATTTTTTATAAGCAAGTGTACCTGCTATTAGTGAAGTTAGCTGGAATTTTTCAATATAAAGCTTGAACTCTCCCGCTAACCTGTGGTCCTTGCATCATTCTTATTTAATTGTATATATTTTAACTTGTGTGTTAACTTGTGACTGAATAATCAGTTCTTTTTTAAAAAATAGTATACATTAAAAGAGGGAGCACTTACTAATAAAAACGTAGTTGCCATTGTTTGGGTGCACTTTTATTTGTCTTTTTGTCTTTGTCTTTGTCTTTAATGCATGTTGAACACTAACATATTTTGTCCTTCTCTGAAAACAGAATGAGTCCAGTATTTTTGCTAAATACCAATCTAAGCCACAACTCTTTGGAGGAGATGGAAAGGAAAAGGGCTCACTTAATTTTCCTGCTGGGAGATTCAAAGGTGTCTTGGAGCAATTTGAAGAGAATAAGAAAAAGATCAAAGAAAAATATGATAAGTATGCAAACACCCTTCTGTGAACTGTTAAAATAGTTTTCTTTCTACTGGTGAAAATAACAGGACTGTACAATTGTATGTATTCTACAAGAAATTTTAATTTTTCCCTTATTAATAATTTCAATGTGAATAAGGAACTGAGTAGTGGAGTGATCTTACTCCCACACTGACAGGACTTTCTCAGCAACCTTCCTGAGGTCTTTCTCAGCAACCTTCCTCTACCAGCTGTGGTTGGTGCCTCAGTTATGTCTTTTTCTTCAAGGTGCTGTGCCTTGTTCCTTATCCCCTCTCAGAAAAATCCACACTGCCTCTGTCTTCCCAACTGTACCCACTGATCATATTGCAGCTAATGAAACTTATATAATTTTGTTCCTGCTAATCATTCAGTGGAGCTGGTGCTCAGATCATATCAGTGAACATCCAGTGAACAAATCAACAGTTTATCTCCAAAGTTCTGCACTTTCACTTGCTCACTGTTGGCTTCTGATTGTAATTTTAGAACCTTTTCTTCTATGGTATCTGAATATAACTACATTAATGCCATACTGCCATATTTTTATTAAATAACAGAGGGAGCTGTTCAGTCCAACTCCACTTTAAAGGGCCTTCTGCCAAGTGCTTTATACCAACTTTGGTTTATGTTCTGCTTTGCCACCAACTGTTTAAAGATTAAAAAACCATAATACAGGAGAGCAGTAACCAAACAAATTTTAGCACCTGGTCACATTCTCTCTCACTACTGTGAGATGTACCGAATTTTATTTAACTTATAGTAATTATACCCAATACATATCACTTAGTATATCTGCATTTTATGCAAGCCCATGTCTTCTTTTGTCCTTTTTTGTGATTCATTTCCTCTTTTTCTGTAATGTGTAAATAGCTAACCTAATTATACTGAATACAGACATTTTCAGCTTCATAAATTCTGTTTGTGAACAGAAAGAAACCTCTGTGAGACCACACCTCTTTCTGACATGCTGCATGGAACAGTGTTGTAATAACTGAATAATGGCCCTTTGGCAGGGTATACTAAATATGATGGGTTTGGGGCTGATTTTTGCATTTCTCAGTTGCTCTTGTTGAGGAGTAGTCTAAAACTTGTGAACAGTCTAAAACCTGTGCTATACAGGTTCTTTTATACATAAAATCTATGCAGATGAAAGAATGAGTGACTCCTTTGAAAAAGAATCCTATGTGGAAGAGCCTGAAATATCAGAAAGTGAAATGGAAGCTGCTCTGAAAGCAATTGGAAGGAATAAAGCATCTGGAGTAGATAGGGTACCAACAGAACTATTCTAAACAGCAGAGACTGAATGTGTCCAAATCCTACCGAGAATATGCCAGCAAATATAGAAAACAAAACATGGCTCACAGACTGGAAACATTCAATATGCATTCCAATCTCCAAGAAAGAGATGCAAAAGAGTGTAGCAATTGTAGGGTCATTGCACCAATTACCTACACAAGCAAAGTAATGCTCAAAGTATGGCAGCAAAGAATGCTACACTATATGGAGCAAGAAATGCCTAATGTTCAAGTTGGATTCCAAAAAGGAAGAGGCACTCAAGGTCTTAATGCAAATATATATATATATATATATATATATATATATATATATATATATAGCGATTTATAGCCTGCCTTTTTCCTACAAAGGGCTCAAGGCAGCTTACATCATCTCTCCCCCTCCATCTTATCCCCACAACAACAACCCTGTGAGGTAGGTTGGGCTGAGAGTCTGTGACTGGCCCAAAGTCACCCAGTTGGCAAACAAAATCTACACTTGCTACTGGAGCACACCAAAGAATTTCAGAAGATTTGTCTGTGTTTTATATACTACAGCAAAGCCTTTGACTGTTGATCATGAGAAGCTATAGGTCCTGGAAGAAATGAGGAGGGGGGGGGCTCAGCATTTTATTGTCCTGATGTGTAACCAGTATCCTGGACAAGAAGCTACTGTGAGGACAGGCACAGAAGATTTCCTGTAGGCAAAGGCATCAGACAACTCTGTATTTGATCTCCCTATCTGGTTAATCTGTACACAGAGCATATTATAAGGAAAGCTGGATTACGATCAGAGGAAGGAGTGAAAACATCATTTTCAGATATGCAGATTATACTATACTACTGGCAGAAAGCAATGGTTTGAAAATGATTCCTAAAAAAAGTGAAAGAAGAAAACAAAATACAGAAGAAGCAGAGAACTTTCTTTGTTGTGGCCTCTGTACATCACACATATGGGTTCTGCGCCTGCGCAGTGCCCTTGGCCAGAAGATTGATAGCTAACGGTTTGGCGGGAAAACTCCGCTCCCCCTCTCCAGCAGTATATATGGAGCAGAGCATCCACCATTTTCCAGACTTTGCAACCACCGTTCGTTGTGCCTCATGCCACTTCGCTCTCACTTAGATCGTTCCTCATACTCTCTTGTTTCAAACTCTTTCTCTTTTTTCCAAGTTAGTATTCCCACCTTACCTTAACCTTACTGTTCCAGTTACTCTCTTCATTTTTTCTCGTTCCTCGCGTTTCTCGTTCCTATAAACACACACACACACACACACACACACACACACACAAATATTAACTATTCCCGCTATACTATCCTCTTTTTCTTCCTTTTTCAGCGATGGCTCAACAAGCAGCGTTCCACAAGTGTGGAGAGTGTGGCTCTAAAATGCCCACTGCGGACCCACACGACCTGTGCCTCCTCTGTTTAGGGGAGGGCCACAGGACGGACAAGTGCGGCCATTGTCTGGCCTTCTCTAAACAGGCCAGGAAGAACAGGGAGAACCGTTTACGTAAGCTCCTGTGGGATCAGGCCATCCTACAATCAGACTGGCTGGCGGTTAAGCCTGCTACAACCTCAGCCCCACCCGACCGCCATCCAACTCCAGCGCCACAACGTCCGGCCCCTTCCTCTGCTGCTCCGCCCTTGCACCCGTCGGGCGAGGGTGCTTCCACCATGGGAGAGCAGCCTGTTTCCCCACCCAAGAAACAGCGGGAAAAGAGGAAACACAGCGGTACCGACGCCTTTGGGTCCGACCATTCAGGCGGCGATGAGAGTTACTCCTCCAGCCTCTCCATGCCGTATGGGATCGGAACTACACCAGGATCCACCTTGTGGTTCAATCTATGATGGCGAGATTCAAGACCCTCCGCCGAGAGCTCGGTCCCCAACACCTATGCCGCCTCTGTTGGGCTTGATCCTGGAACCAGGTTATCCCTGCCAAGAAGCTGGAGGAGCCGGTCTTCTGAAGCTCGTTCTGACGACTGGTACCATTCCCAGTACTCTTTCGCACCGAGATGGCCCGACTATCCATCTGTTGGATACTACCCGGCTGCTAGAGGCTGATCCCCCCCACCAGAACATCGGGATCGACCTCATTCTACAGCTTTGGGGGGCGCCGGGCGTGCACTGTCTTGGGAGAGCGGTAGATCACAGTCACCAGGAGACTCTTCCTCTAGCATCCCGCCTCCATATTGGGTGGACTCGGACGAGTCCGAGGTCGATTCGACCGATGCTGCAGTCACTTCACAAGGCCCAGCATCACCGGAAGAGCCGCACATCACGTTTGCTGAACTGATGTCCAGGCTGGTGAAGTCATCGGAGATCGAGGGTAATCAACAACCTGGCCCCAGCACCGATCGCTTCTACGATGTAGTGCGGGGGGAACAATCGACCTCCATTGCTTTACCATTTATTACCACTCTCCGACAAGCGATGACCCAACCGTGGGACCTCCCGGCTCAGCCTCAGCCGACCTCGAGAAGATATAAGGCGATGTATAGAGTTTGTAAGGGGAACATTCCGTTCCTCCTCTGCCACCCCAAACCAAATTTGGTGGTGGTAGAATCTTCTCAAGGCTGGGAGGCACGGGGTCACACAGCGCCCCATGACAAAGAGGGAAGGAAAATCGACTCCCTCGCGCGCCAGGTCTATGCGACTTTGGGACTCGGCCTAAGAATCTCGAATTATGAGGCGACCCTGGCGCGTTATCAATATTTTATAATGCAACACCTGGACAACATCATCGCCACCCTCCCAGATAATCAAGGCGACTTGGCCCGGGTGTTCATAAAGGAGGCAATGCAGGTTGCGGTGCAACAGCTATCCACAGCTAGGCACCACATGGATACGGACTCGAGGGCTCTCGTTGGCGCCATCTCTCTCCAGAGACATGCCTGGTTGCGTAACTGCAACTTTCCGGAAGAGATGAAGAGAAGGATTGAGGAGATGCCCTTTGATGGATCCGGCCTCTTCAATGCAAAGTTGAAGAAGATCCACGAGTCGAGGATGACGGCCCGGCGTATGGAATGCAACCTCTTCCTCGACGTAAGTGGTTGTGGACCCATCCACAATACAGACAGCAATACCCACCCCGCCAACAGCCACAGCATCGTCAACAATGCCGCAAACAACCGCCCCAACAATTCCAGCAAAGCTGACGCCACTTTGACGGAGACAAACACCAGCGCTGATGGGGCGGGCGAACCTTTCCTCTCCTTCCAACCCCACCCTCCCCCCTCTCATTTGGGGACTGGCTGAAAAGCCGACTCCCCATTTGGGAGTCCATTACATCTGATGGGTGGGTGTTATCCATCATCCAGCACAGATATAGAATTGAATTCGACATCGTTCCATCATCGAGTCCTATCTGGTTTACTCCATGCTCGCCGGTATTATTAGATGAGGTTCACCAACTCCTGTCTAAAGGAGCCATTCGTCACATGTCTTTATCCATGGACTCCATGGATTCTATTCTAGATATTTTATGGTTTCAAAATGATACGGAGGTCTTCGACCGATATTGGACCTGAGAGCTCTCAATAAATTTATAACACCAAAGAAGTTTCGGATGACCACACTTCAAAATATCCTGCCATTGCTGGGGAGAGAGGATTGGTTTGCCTCACTGGACTTGAGGGATGCCTATTTTCATATTTCGATCCATCCACGTCATAGGCGTTTCCTCCGTTTTGCTGTAGCTTCTGAAATCTATGAATTCAAAGTGCTGCCATTTGGACTGGCCACCGCACCGAGGGTTTTCACGAAGTGTATGGCCCCCGTCTGCGCATACCTTTGACTACATGGAATTCAGATATACCCTTACCTCGATGACTGGCTGTTGGTTTCCCGGACTAGAGAAGGACTTTGCTCCTCTGTAAATATGGCTTGTGACTTATTGCAGGACCTTGGACTCTGCATTAATCGTGATAAATCTTCTCTTGTCCCTACACAGACGATCAACTTTATTGGAGCCCGGCTGGATTCTACGGTGGCGAAGGCCTTCCTCCCTCAAGACAGACTGTGCACTATCGCTCGACACATCCGCCGAATTCGAAGAGACGGAACTGTTTCTGCATGATCTGTTCAGAGATTTTGGGACACATGACAGCATTCATCGCTGTAGTTCCATATGCCAAACTCCGGCTTCGCCCCCTTCAACTGTTCTTCAATGGAGTGTTCCGGCCACAGAGGGATCCACCTACGAAGCTGATTTGACTCCCGTCCTCCGTCCTACAATCTCTACTATGGTGGATGGCATCAGAAAACCTAAACATCAGAGTTCCATTCCGACCTCGGTACCCTACGGTGACTCTTGGTACCAATGCGTCTCTGCTGGGATGGGGAGCCCTGTGCTCTGGCCTACGCACGCAGGGCATATGGAACTGACAGGAGTCCAGGAATCACATCAACTTCCTGGAACTTCTTGCAGTATTCAAAGCACTACAATCATTCGAGGACGTGCTTTGCCATCGAGTTGTCCAAATAACCTTGGACAACACGGCCACTGTCTTTTACTTGAACAAGCAAGGGAGGACAAAGTCTCCGAAGTTAGCCCGACTATCGATGCAAATCTGGGAGTGGTGCATCCTGAGAGACATCACCCCGATAGCAGTGCATCTAGCGGGTACGGACAATGTGGAAGCAGATCTCTTGAGCAGGCACATGTCCAAGTCGCACAAATGGGAGCTGGACTGCCAGACATGCAACAGGCTGTTCCAGTGATGGGGTCTCCCAGATATAGACCTATTCGCCACCCAACAAAACAAGGTGTGTGAGACTTTTTGCTCGAGAGCGGGAATCGGACAGGGGTCATCTGGGGATGCCTTTATGATCCCTTGGAACGATATGATCTTTTACGCTTTCCCCCCGATTCCCCTCATCATGAGAGTAATATCAAAGATAATTCACGATGGGGCCACAGGACTGCTGATAACTCCTTGGTGGCCACGCCAGCCTTGGTTCTCCACACTTCTTCGCCTCAGGCCAAAACCTTTTTATTTATCTGGCTTTTTAAATGATGGTTTTAAGATACAATTTATTGTATCTTAAACCCAGTACTGTTGCCTAGTTCTAATGTTTTTAATTCTTTTGTACACTGTCTTGAGATTTTTTTTGAAAATATAAGATGGTATAGAAAATTTTTAAATAAATAAAAAAATAAATAATAAATAATATGAGTTTACATAATCATAGGTCATTAGATACTTTTTGAAAATTTTACAATTGGATTAATCACAGCTGAAACTTCTTTTTCTTTGTAATGTTTATGTATAAAAGGTGACATAAGTTCATCTCTTTTATTTCAGTGTTCATGCCATTTCATTCATAACATAGTATATTTCTCCTATGATATATTGATTAGAGATTTGGACTGAGACTTGAGAGATATGGATTCTAGCTCCCACTTGGCCAAGAAACTTACTGAGTGACTTTGGGCCAGTCACTGACTCTCAACCTAACCTACCTCACAAGGTTGTTGTGAGGATAAAAATGGAGAGCAGGATGATCTTTTAAACCACCAGCTTACAACCAGTTCCTGAGAGAGAATGCATAAAAGCCAAACATTATTTTAAAAAATGGCAGTGAAGAGCAGCACAGCCTCCCTGCCACCAGCAAGGTTGTTGTTTCAGTCTGCCATATGCAGATAAGATATGATGTTATTATCACTGAAAGTCACTTGTAAGGCAAATCACATGCTGTTTATTATGACATGACAACCCACTGTGACTTAATTTACCTGCAGGAAGCATTGCAACATGCTGGACAGCTGTACCCACCACTTTTGGTTGGACGAACATGTGCTCAGGTTGTAATGGTTTACTGAGTCATGTGAATTCAAGCAGTAGGAGTTGTTTGAGGTTCACAAATAGCCCATGACTTGTTTTAGGTTTATCTAACCCTTAAGCAGCCACTGTTGCCTAGGTTTGCACAACATGACAAACCATGGCAAGTGGAGTGCCCATAGGGACCCAACATGATGCAACACCTCCATGGGTAATTTAAACAATGGTGGACTAACATATCATGTGAACCAAGTCATTGGGCTTACTTGTGGTATTGTTTTATGAAAAAGGCTTTTAGTAACTTCTGAATCAGCTTTTCAGTCCCCTACGCTGCATGCATATATGACTGCCAGTGACTTCCAAGTCCATCCCAGGGTGCTTATTGCTGTCAGTTAAAAAACTCTACATTGCTACTCTTTTTCTTCATAATGGATTTTCTGTATTAAGAAAAAGAAGTGGTAGGAAAAATGGGAGGGTTCAAAGTGGCAATATCTGGACCCCCTGTAAAATTCCATCAATGAGGTAGAGTGATGATACAATAAAAGTGTCACCTAGAAGCTCCAATAGAAGTTTAAAGAGTATGTTTATGTAGCTTGTAGCCTGCCTCTCTTGACTAGTACATTTTGCCACAACATGCAAGGGAGAAGTTGATTATTTCATACTTGGCTGGATAGAACAATGGATAGGTCAATATTCTGCCAGATGTGCTTTTGTCTGATACAGGACAAATTCACTGAATGACTTTATAATTTAATCATGCTAAGATGCAGTCTTATGCATGCTTAGACAGGTTCATCAGCTGACCTGACTGGGTGAGGAATGCTGGATGTTCAGACCGTTTTTCTAGTTAAACATGCATAGGATTGTAGCCTGGGCCATTTTCCATATATTCAAAGTCTGCATATAGTGTACAGGGATAGCAGTGTCTTTCCTGTTTTTGACAGATGGATCAGCTTTGGAGAACAGTACTGTACCCCATATACTTAGTCTACATATATACTGAATCACAGTCAAAAGCATTTGATGCTGTGCAGCTTCCTGTCAAAACCTGGAGACCACTAAGGCTTTTACTGAAGCTAACAGGGGTTCCCTGACTGCCTCACCTCCACTCCTGTCAAATTCCCTGACCACTGAGCACAAGTTTCCCTCTGCCTATTCTCTCTACTCCCTCACCCAGAGAGCCTCATATATATAACTATCTTCTTACTGATGCTAGCAAGGAAAGAGCAATCTATAACAAGATCACTGGTGCATCCACATGTGTGTATGTATGTTTGTGTTTGCATGTGAAGTGTGTGCTGACCCCATCTGTTGAGCTGGAATCACATGTGGCCTATGGCCTGAAAAGGTTGTGTATGAGAAACTGTGTTTAGACATATCTTGAAATATGTAGTAATAATGAATGAGTGATTGAATTTCTCAGTGTACCATTCATTGTATAATACAACCTTACAAATAATTTATTTCAAGCCTTCCTCCAGAAATGTTTCTAACACAGTATCACCAAAAATATGGGTTGCTTCATTCACCGAAGGGAAGTCTCCAATCTGCAATTCCCAGTCTATTACCATCTTCTTTATTATATTCTTACCTGGGATGAGCTCCCAAGCACATTTCCCAGTTCTGCTTCCTTTGTATTTCATTAATTATTCATTCCTTTGTTTTTGTTTACAGGCTTACATTTCAAAATTGCCACTTATACAAAGTTACTATCACCTATCACCAGATCTTAGCCAGTAAAACTGGCTTGATGAAACATGTATTCCTACAGTTACTAACACCTTTGATTTATCAGTAGCCACCTGTCAGCATTTCAGAAAGGCAAATCCATTGGAGATTTTTACTAATGGAATTTATTTGGCTATAGAAGTGAAAGTACCCTGGAGATAAATACTTTAATGAGGAATTAAGGCTTTTAAAATCTACATTCTGCTATGTAATGCATGCTGTCTCATGAGATTATACTGGCTCACCCCCCTGTAATTTGCATTGGATTAATTTGCATATAAATTTCACATTTCCTATGTATTTCCCTTTCAGTGAGGTTTTAAACACTTTTATTTTGAACACCAAAGAGAGTCTTCAAAGGGTAAGTGGGTCCACATTATACATTGGATATGGGGGTGGGAATGTTGCAGTGCATTTCCCCTAGTTTCTAGTTAATAGAGTATTTTTCTTTTGTCATGCAGTATAATAAAATATAATTGAACCTTCTGTTTGAATGCTTTTTGATTCAGTTGAAAACACTGAATACATTGAAAGCAATATAATGGAAATGAATACTTATTAATATCTGAGCAATACTGCTTATTTATTTTGCAGTTGCAGTCTTCCTCTGATAGGTTTGAAGAAACCCTGAAATCTCTTTTGGATGGCTTTGGAAACCTCTCTAAGACAAGTAAGTGCATGAGATGGTTCTACTCCCAGAAGAGGGTGAAGTCAAATTGCTATGACCTGTCCGTCTTGGGTGGCCCTGCACGGCATAGCTCATAGCTTCATTGAGCTACGCAAGCCCCTTCGCCATGACAAGGCAGTGATCCTTTAACTGCCTTGAAGGAGTTTAATTTGACTACTTAGTGTTATTATTGGGTTGTTTATTACATTGATATCCTATCCTTTTCTCTCTCATAAGAAACCCAAGGCAGCTTACACAGTCTTCCTTCTCTCCATTTTATCCTCATAACTGTGCCCTAGCTTGTTGACTATTTTAGTTGCTGTTTCATTTTAATTTTATTATACTATTTTAATAAACCCTATGGAAAGAAGTATGCAATGTTTTAAATAAATAAATACAATGTCACCATAACAAAAAGAAGTTTGTCAAAACAAGAATTGGGCTCCTGTTCATTTTCAGCCATAGAATTTCATGCTTACTTTATTATGTACAAAGTAAGTCAATCCTTTTCACCTGGATGTCTCACTTAAAAGCCCAATGCAGAACAAGGCATGATTTTTTGGAGCTTTGCCTCATTATAGAGGGTATCATTTATTATCTTTGAATGAAAAAATGTTCCTATGGATTTTTCAATATGAAAACCTACATTTCACATTATGTTATAGTAATATAGCTATGTGTGCCAGAAAGAGAAACATAGCTTGCTTTGGAATGAGCAGCAGGCAGTTTAAAAAAAAAACAAGAAGAGAATACTGAAATGTTGTGTTTTAAAAAGTAATTGCACAAATCCAATGCATCAAAAATCAGTGATCTAATTACTAGATGTATAGACTTGAGTAAGAGAAAGAGATTCATATTCCAATATGACCACAGACTACCTGGGCTGCGTTGCGCAAATCATTACCTCACTGCATAACTTTGCACTTCTATAAAAGTAAAGAAAAAGGTTGCTTTGCAGTCTCTAAGATATTGAACGTACTTACACTAACAATAATTAGATCATGTTTCTCTTGATTAGTTTTCATCCAATTTCAATTAAAACCATTTATTTCTCCCAACAACAACTACAGAATGTCTAGAAACCTCCAAGCCAAGATGGAAGAGTTGAAATGCCTTTTTAAAAAGAGAATCTAGATGATGTGGCCATTGTGGAAATCTTAGTGGAATGGAGTGATCCAGTGGGATACAGTCATATCTGGGATATAAACTCTATAGGAAGGACAGGGAAGGATGCACTGGAGGATATGTTGCTCTGTGTCTCAAGCAGGTGTCTAGAATAAGGTTCTTAGGTATAAAATGGGACTAAGTTCAAAGACAAATGAATGAAGGCTAAGGTACTGGGCAATTAGAACTCTAGGTACAATCAGGGGTATCTGTCAAGTACCTATATTTTCCACAGACAAAATATTTCACAAAACAATTTTATGCATGTTTGTTCAAAAGTAAATCTCACTGAGTTTAGTGAGGTTTACTCTCAAGTAAGGGGGAAGAGGATGCAGCTTAAAACACTTTCAAATAATGATTCTCCACAAAGGTCCTGTCTTCCTTCATGCAGGCATCTGGAATCCTTCCCACATTTCCTCATACCTACCTTTTTCAGTAATTATCCTGGACAAAATCCCAGACTTCTTTTAAACTCCTGAAGTTCTATGACACAAAATCTGGAAAATTACACTTGACATTTACCATAATTATAAGTCATACTGCAATAGAATGTTTCATGTAGGATGTAAACGAATCAGCCACTTGCAGCATATTGCTTCCTCCATCTGCATTGATTCATCTTCAACTGACTGCTAATAAACACTGCTGTTTTACTGGGATCAAAGTGATGGTTAATTATCTTCCCACCATCTAAAACTGCGGTGGATACTTGGAAAGATATCAGTTAAATGCATTGCTTTTCAAATCCAAATGCCTTGCCTCCTGTATCTGATCTAAAGATGACTATATTTTCCTCCATCTGACTGATATTTTAAAGACTGCAGCCGTCTGCTTAACCCTCTGGGAGGAAATAGTATATATTATGTTTCATTGATAGAGAAGCAGTAAATGGATTGGTGTATCAGACTTTCTAGTGTGTCAGATGGGCAATGCCCTCATCCCTGTCTGCAATTAATATAGTTCTTCGGCTCTGGAGATGTGGCAATGTTTGAGCTCATCATAAGCTAATTTTTTAGAATTGAAAGAAAAGAAAAGAGAAGAGAAGAGAAGAGAAGAGAAGAGAAGAGAAGAGAAGAAAAGAAAAGATTATGAAACTTATAGTCAAGACAGCCCTGCTTCCCCTTTCCTTTTTACCTATTCACCTGTCCGTGTATTGTTGTTGTTAATCATGAAGTTGTGTCCGACCCATTGCAACCCCATGGACAACATTCCTCCAGGCCTTCCTGTCCTCCACCATCCCCCGGAGTCCACTTAAGCTCACACCAACTGCTTCACTGACTCCATCTAGCCACCTCATTCTCTTCTGTCCCCTTCTTCTTTTGCCATCTATTGTTCCCAGCATTAGGCTCTTCTTCAGGGAGTCCTTCCTTCTCATTAGGTGGCCAAATACTGAAGGCCATCTTCAGTATCTGGCCTTCTCAAGAGCAGGCAGGGTTGATCTCCTCTAGGACTGACCGGTTTGATCGCCTTGCAGTCCAAGGGACTTGCAGGAGTCTCCTCCAGCACCACAATTCAAAGGCCTCAATACTTTGGCGCTCAGCCTTCCTTATGGTCCAACTTTCACAGCCATACATTGCAACTGGGAAAACCATAGCCTTGACTATACACACTTTTGTTGGCAGGGTGATGTCTCTGCTTTTTAGTATGCTGTCTAGATTTGCCATAGCTTTCCTCCCCAGGAGCAAGCGTCTTGTAATTTCTTGGCTGCAGTCCCCATCTGTGGTGATCTTGGATCCCAGGAAAATAAAATCTGTCACTACCTCCATTTCTTCCCCATCTATTTGCCAGGAAGTGAGAGGACCGGATGCCATGATCTTAGTTTTCTTAATGTTGAGTTTCAGGCCAACTTTTGCGCTCTGCTCCTTCACCCGCATCAAGAGGCTGTTTAGTTCCTCTTCACTTTCTGCCATGAGAGTGGTATCATCTACATATCTGAGGTTGTTGATATTTCTCCCAGCAATCTTAATTCCAACTGGTGATTCATCTCGCCCCGCCTTTCTGATGATGTGCTCTGCATATAAGTTAAATAGGCAGGGCAACAGTATACAGCCTTGCCGAACTCCTTTCTCAATTTTGAACCAATCAGTGGTTCCATATCCAGTTCTCACTGTTGCACCCTGATTTATAACATTTTACAGTTCCTCCATTCCCTACATCAAAACTGATTAAAACTGAATTCAGTAAAAATATACTTGGCTGCAACCTCACACTATAGAGGTCAAATGGACAGATCCTCTCTTTTTTCCCATCCACTTGCTGGACACTTCATGAAAGAACTTCAAAATCTAAACCCTAGAATCTGTTCCTTCATCCCAACATGGAGTCTATCAGTAGTGTGCCAGGTGTTAACCAATCCACCTTTCGAACTGCTCACATCCATGGACCTCAGACTACTTTTGTGGAAAACATTGTTACTGGTGGCCATCATGTCAGCAAGAAGAGCAAGTGAACCTTGTGCACTCAGAATAGATCCACCATATCTGAACTTCCACAAAGAGAAAGTTGTCTTATACTTAGACCCTTCTTTCCTACTGAAAGTAGCCACAACATTCCATTTAAACCAAAACATCATTCTACCAGCCTTTTTTTCCCATCATCTACAACTCCAATTGAACTGTCTCTGCACACCTTGAATGTATGAAGAGCTCTTGCCTTCTACCGATCCTGCATGGAACCCTTTCACAAATCTAAATGCCTTTTTGTCGAATATGCAGACCATGACAAGGGTGAACCAATAGGACTACAACATCTATTCAAATGGACAGTTGAAGCCATCAAACTAGTGTACCAGCTAGCCAACATAGATTTACCAGACAACCCGAAAGGACACTCTACCAGAGTTGTCTCCATTTTGATGGCCCTGCATTTCACCATACCACTAGATGAACTCTACAAAGCTGCTACGTGCTTGACACCATCTACATTTGTCCACCACTATCGACTCAGTGTTAAAGCCAGATGAAACTGTCCACAGTTCTCTGGTAATGACACCTTTCCACCTCCATATATGGTATGCTTGCTAGATACCCATATGTGTGATGCACAGAGATCACGAAGAAGAAGGGCAAGTTGCTCACCTGTAACCATCATTCTTCAAGTGGTCATCTGTGCATTCACACAAACCACCTGCTACCCCCATGACAGTGTCAGTGGTATCATACCAGATTATCTTGCCTTAACAGATAATCCAGTACAAACTGGACAGTGAACCATTGGTCTCCAGTTGGACTGACGATGGGTGGGATTCCCCCCCCCCACCATGTATACTGGGGGGAGGGGCAGAACTTCCTCCAAAACCCATTGAGCTGAGAATCTTCCTGAAATTGGGCACTGCTCAGGTGCAGCACCCTTTTGTGTGAATGCACAGATGATCACTTGAAGAACGACAGTTACTGCTAAGCAACTTGCCTGTATCACCAGCTAAATTTTTTCTAGTCTGTGCTTTGACTGCAGAGCCAGCCTTGTTAATCCATTGCTTTTTCCCAAAAATGAGTGAAGTGCACCCAGCCAGCACTAAATGGTGTGCCTAT